CATCAGCAACAGAGTATGGAACTATGGCCAAGGGTTGATGGACAAAGACAGGGTGGGAACAAGCCAGCAGCTGCGTGACACACTGGATATGAATTTCTTGCAGCGGCTGGCGTGTTTGAGTGGCTGGTTTGGCAGATTGGAGAGTTTCCGCTAAGAAGCGAATGCTGGGTGTGGATCTTAACTCTGTTAGAGTTATTAAACGGCTCCTGCTGGCATTGTTAGATTGAGGAGCCGCGGGTGCTCTGGTCAAGGCAAGAGAAAGATCTTAGGCTTAATCTAGGCTGGGCATGGCCGGGGTAAGGGCTACGCGGGCGAATTGGGTGATTCACAGAGCGCCTTCTTCCAAGCGGTGGTCTTCGAGAAGGCCATGGTACATGGTTCAGCGGAGACGTCGTGTGAATGGGCAGAGGATGAGCTGCAGCCGGTGCTAGGTACGGAAGCGTGAGCGTGTGATCTAGGTTGATCGGCCTCTCGACGTGTGCGATGAGGCTCGCCGTGCATGGTTTCGCGGCGGTGTGATAGGCGCCCTCTAGAGACGTTTCTAGCAGCTTGTATTCTCGAGTTAAGCTCGCTAGCTTCGGCCACTTATCGACAAGGGCAGGGCCGGGGCAGCTTACTCCAGACGAAAGTAAGAGAAACGTCAACGCACGCCAGGGCCCACGACTCAGGACGGACCACACCGAGCACAAGCGAAAGCAACCATGGCATTGACAACAACGCAGGCCCGCGCTGAAGTCATCGTGGCTCACCCATGGGGTAAGGCCGCCGCAATGCGGTACGCCATTCCGACAGAACCCTCAAGGGCCACCGTTCACCTCCTGCGGAGCGCATCATGTGCAGGACGAGCGTTGGCTAGCGTCCCCTGTCGCTGCTTTTGCACCACGCCCCTCCACTGTGTTCCTCCACATTCCTTCCTTTCACAAACGTCCTCGCATCGCAGGCTAGCCGCTGAGCTTACCGGACCGGACCTTAGGCAATGGCGCTACCAGAAATATTGTCCGTCAGCTCGGTGGTGTGGTGCAAGGTACACATGAGTCGCGCCTTCGCGGTCAAAGGAGTCCGGAACGACGTGCCTGAAATGATGAGTAAGGGTACTGCCATCCCGGCTGAATTACGAGCTGGAACTGGTTCGACAGGAACTTTTAGCCATCGTGACGTGCGGAGAAGGCTCGAGGCTTATCCCACCACAAACACCCTATTGGCACTTCAAGAGCCGAGAAGGATCGTGGAGTCTGCAGTCGGGCGAGATGGAGGGCACTGGGTTTCTCGGGGTCAGCCCTGCGACATCGTGTTGTGATTGTTGTCGGTCCTGAGTTCCGGATGTGCGATTGGCCAGGTCGCATCAGGGTCGCTTTCCTGTTTTGGCGCGGAGTGAATTGCCTGTGTGGGAGACGATTGGTGGAAGACGCATATCACGTGGAGGTTGCGCTGCCAGCGTCTCGCTCCACAGGTCAGCAGGGATGCTGCGACTTCTGGTAGCGCTGCCATGATGATGTAGAGATACGTACCTAAGGCGGCGCCTCGGTCGAGAAGCGAAATGCAGTAAGGTATTGGAAATGGCTGATACGCATGGCGAATGGATGCAGAATGCGAGCCGTTGGGCAGTCATGCTTCTTGGACAAGTTCGCTCATGGTGGGTCAGGCTCTCGCGCCTCTGAGAATGACGATGCATGCCAGAAGAAGCAAAGGGCGGGACGGGATGATGCAGACAACAAAGACGGGAAGAGCACGTCCTTCCAAATTTCTTCTTCCACCTGCATTGCTATCTCCCCACGCACATGTAACTTCCTCATCTGCAGCCACGGCCGGTACTTTGAGCAAAGCAAAGAATCCTACGGCAGCTTGATACGATGTCAATTTTGACTCCAACCCGTCACATGCCATCAACGCCAAAGGATTGTGAGGCGCTTTTAGTGCCCGAGGGTGGTTCCTCAGCCGTTATGCACCTGCGTTGATACGGCGCAGGGCGATCCTCGAAGGATACGAGCGAGGCCATGGCGGCCAGCGATCGGACGACGGCAAGCTTGCGCCATCGACAAACCTTCTGACCCGCCTTTTCACGCGTCCGGGCACCGGAGCAAGATACGAGATGCGGAAGGCTGGCGCACGCTTTAAAAGCTGAGCTTGCCCCAAGATGCAGGCTTGGGGGACTACTCGAAGAGGAGGGTCTGCGGTCTGCCACAGCCGGCGGCTTTTCTGAACAGGAACGTAAGAGTGGCACTTCGCCGAGGTAATGTGGGTGTGGCTGACGATGAGAGGTGGAACTTTTCGACGCGGCTGACGGTCAAAGTTTCCTCTTCCAAGTGCCCGTATGCGGGACTCTGCGACGTTCGTTTCCTCCTTCATCTCCACACCCCCAGATTTATGGGAATTGCGCAGACCGCAGACTTGCATATCTCCGGCATCCCGAGGCGAAAACCGTGGGGCGAATGCGATTGATGGAATTGCGATGGCCAACGCATCATTAGACATGGCTGTCCTCTTTTGTCGCAACACGACAGAAAGCGGACGTCATGCTTTATTTCGTTCGCAGGGCGCGTGAGGTTTAATCCTCAGCGCTGAGGCGACTCGCCCACACGCAAGTATAAGAGGTTGTACCAAACCGCCCGAGACTCCAAGCCATTTGGTCTGGCCTCGGTACCTAGCAGTACGGACCGCTGCATTACACCCGCAGCAGGGTTTCAGCATCGGTCGTGTCCGTTGCTTTTGCGACCACGACATTGCTTCTGCTGTGCTGCCGGCGCATGCAAAACCGTCGGCTGTGTGCATGACAGGATTCCGGCAGCTGCTGGCTGCGCTCGGTTGATGAAGATGCCGTGCCGTTGTGTCACCGTTTCGTTTCGTGTGAGTCAAGGATTGTAACGGGCAATGATGGTGGCTGTTGATGTGTGGGTTGATGGTATTGATGGTGGGTAGACCGCCCAAGCGGCATGTTACTGATGTCAGTAATCTCCAGGTATGTGACATATAGTCAATGGGAGAGCCTGCATCTGTCTGGGTACGTCTTGTTGGCGGTATGCGTCCACATTTTCATGGTCATTTGCAATGACCCGCGGTTGCAGCTCATTGCTTCCACACGAAAGCAAAACCCACCTTGTACAAGGAAGAAATTCCACAATCATCTCCCAGGAGTCTACATTGCTTTGGGAGTTTGTCAAGTTTGTGTCTTCGCACTAATGTAGACGCCGGCGCACCTCAACTTTCTCCCTGCATGAGGTGATCTCAGATTTGAATGGCCCTACCCGCTGTAATAACGTGGTCTGTACCGTCTGAACACGCTAGGCCTACAGTATGCTCTGCAAGTGTGACAATCAAGATTTGTATATTGCGACGGAAGGACCACCCATCATATACCGGTACCAGGGAGATTTGGAGTTGTCAAAGATACGGTAGCAAAGTAGTCCAGATTGCACTCTTGGCGGTCGATGGTTCAGGGCCATTACATCTCGAGCACCCTTCTTCAGCTGCAGCAGTTATACTGCTAGCAACAGTTGACAGCATAATCTGCAGTACACCAATCTCGGGACTAGAATATCGAAGGAGCATATTTCACTGCATCCACCTTCATCGACGTCGGTTGCCACCCACTCCATACACCGGTACTGCGATGATAGAAGCCACTCGTAGCATGCGCTTTTCCAAAGACCCTGTTACCCCACAAACCCTTTGTTGAGAGCGGTCGTAAGTATGATGTTGTCGCTGCCTCATGATTGTTGATTATTCATCGCTTGCGCAGCGCAGCGCGGTCATGTCGCTGACAAAATTGTCGATGCATCGTCCGGTCAACAGAACAGAGTCCGTGTAAAGCTCAAGGCCCGTACCTGAGTCAAATCGGGCCTTGTAGTCAGTAGTAACTTTGGAGGTGGTGCACAGAGTGGTCTGATCAACCTTATCGATTGTGGCAACGATACCTGAGGTTCGCACATGACAATGGAGTTAAGGCGGAGGTGCCTTTCACGTGAATGGTCGCCTCCGCGAGACACGCCGTCATCGTGCATAGATGCGCAGCAAGACGTCAGTGGGTTTACATTTTTCTTCGATCTGCGCAGGAGGGGAGATGCATCTCGACATTGTATGGCTGACGGGACTTTGGCAGTATCGTGGGACTAGGACCGCCTTGTCTGTTGTTGCTTTGTTATAGCTACATCTGTGCTTCGCTGTGCAACTGGGTGTATCCTGAGAGACACAGGGCTGAACTATAATAATAGTCAAATTAAGTCACCATCTACCTGGTTGTATGCTGCGAGTGAGAACAGGGCGTTTGGTACGCGGAAGACATATGGGTCTGTGCAATGGTGGTGTTTGCTAAAAGATGTATCTCAACTCGCTGTCGCTGCCTGGCCCAGCGCAAGGCACCCCACGTACTAGAGCCTGGTCTCCATCCTCCGGCAACAACAGTCACGTCCTGCTAGTAGGAGTCACGACGAGGCCGTTGGGGCGCAGTGCAGCAATGTGTCATGTCCTGCTTACTGCGTATGTGATGACGATATCAACGACATGGAATTGGTGAGGCAGCGTGGGCAGCCCCTCGCGCTTGCCTCATGTATCCGAGGAAGGCACAATCCGCACCCATAGTTTATGAGCGCGCACCAATGAATCGATCGTGAAATGATCATCTCGTGACCCTGAGCAAAGCAGTCACCAAACGAGCAAGCGGCAAATTGTCCGTGGGAATTCGAGGTGTTGGGACTGCCTTCAAGGGCTCGGCTAGGACAAGATCCTTGTTGCGGCTTAGTCTGGCACTCAAACAATTTTCGAAAGAGCCCAACCGCCGTCCCTCCACCCACCCGTCTCTCCACTGCGAGAACACTCATCACGACACACGCAGCGGACTCAGTGAACTTCACACGAGCCGCCCCGTCGATTTCACGAATTTATTCGGCGAAATCCCCCTCCCGGACACGGAAACCTGTTCAGAGACCTCTTCATTGAAGCGCTCGGACAGCCCTCAACACCCTTCTCCAAGGAGTTGACCTCTGACCTTCCCTTCCCCACGCGGACGACGCTCTTTTCTGCACCACCCGAGTCGCTGTCTCAGCAACTCATTAATACTGCAGAGTTCGTCCCATCGCTCGAATCTGGGATTCCAGCACCAACGTCATCGCCCTCAGCTAGGTAGCGATTGCGCAGCCTACCGACCGCCCTCCACACCCTCACCGCACCTCACCTCACCCACCACCGAGTCCATGAGTAATCCCGCCTCGACTTCGCAAACTCCGCCGATCGCCGCTTCCTCGTCTGCGACCGCGAACAGCTCCTCTACAGGATCGTCCGCCACCGTGGCCGCCGGTTCGGCTCAACCCACTGCCCGCAGCTCGTACGCCAACGCGACCAAACCCACGATCGTGTCTAGCGCAGCGCCGCCCGTGGCAGTGGGAGGACCGCAGAATGCGCAGCATGGCAAGAGCTCCTCTGTCTCCCCGGTGAATGGCAACGGCGCCCTCAAGCCTGCTATTCCCGTCATGCCCACCATCGTCAGCGGTGGTCCCAACGGCAGCGCCCACGAGCGCAAGTCGTCTGTCCAGATCAAGCAGACCCCGCCTGTTGCGACTGCAGGCGGCCCGCCCTCTGGTATCAAGTTTGGATCGCTTGCCGGCTCACCAGCGCCTGCCCACGCCTCGCCCGTAGTCCAGGGAAACCTGAACCCGGCGCAGGTGCAGAACCCACGCGTCGCCTCACCCGCTCATTCACCGTCGCCCATTCCTACGCCTATCTCGGGAGGCCCCAAGCCTGACGGACTGCCCACTAGGCCAAACATTGTGTTCGGTGGCCAGGGCGGTGAAAGCACTGAGCCTAACGTGAGTTTGCGCCCTGCCCCCCATATAGTCCTCTTTCCGCTTCACATGCTGACTCCACCACAGGCACGCCCTGCCATGCCCCCTCAACCCAACTCCCATACAATGCCTCAGCACATGCGTCGCGAGTCCTCCCAGTCAGCGCACAGCGACATGAGCAACGCGAACATGGGCCGCGGCGGCTCGTACTCCAACCGAGGCGGCCGCGGTGGGTTCCCTCCCCAAGGTCAATACAACCCGCACATGGCAAACCATTCGCCACAGCCGTTCCGCCCCATGCCTCAGATGGGCCGCGGCCAGGCTGCGCCATTCCACCCTCCTGGCCCGCAGCGCTCTCCCTACACCCAGAACCGTAGCCCCGCTATGACACCTGCTACTATGCATCAGCAGCAGCACCTCGCTAATCCTCAGAGCATGCCATACTACCCGGGACAACAGTATCCTCAACAGGCAAGTACACCCTCTACTATCTTAGCTACTCCCTCAGTTTCTTCATCTTGCAGATTGGTTTTATCGACTGGATCACGAGTTTCTCCCAATTCTCCCATGTCCAGCCGTGTTACTGTCGGGAACGAGAGGCCTTCTAACCAAGGTCGATTGGATTCGGCAAATGTCCCCACACAAATTGTTCCGTCCCCAAATGTTTCAGTCTTTTCAAGTGCCAATATCGAATCATTCCTAACACAACTTTCCTCACAGGCCATCTACGGAGGCATGCCCCAGCCAGGCTTAGACCCGTACAACAACTTCTACCCGCAGAGCTACGGACTTCAGCAGTCTATCCACTACCCAGGTGTCCCCGCCAGCCCAGGTCGTGGCTTTCCTCCCCAGATGCAGCCGTCTCCCTACGGCGTTGCTCCTTACGGTCACCAGCCACAGGCTCAGAGCATGTCGCGTACTCCCTCCAACATGTCGGAGCGCCCGTCATCAGCCGTTCCTCAGCCTTCCACACCTGCGATGACCAACGTCAATCACATTTCGCACACGCATACTCCTAGCATGACGTCGGCAAGCCCCGCACCTAGCTCCACCTTTGAACGTCCGAAGAGGCAAAGCAAGGCTATCCAGATTAAGACTGGTAAGTTGTGATCTCTGCATGCGATCATATCACAAGACTAACAGCGTCTAGTTGATGGTGAAGTTGTCGACTTCAAGCCCAAGGGCGCCTCGCCCGCCCCGCCTGCTGTAGCATCTGCTGCACCTGCTGCCCCTCGTTCTCCCGCCATTGCTGCCACACCCACTCCTCCGCGCGCACCGAGCGCCACCGACTCTACTCGTGCTGAAGATACTGCTTCTAAAAAGGCCGAATTTGTCAAGCAGTTCCAGGAGAAGCTTCGTCTCCAAGAGGAAGCCGAGAAGAAGGCCAAGGAAGCTACAGAGGAAGAAGCCAACGCCGAAGCCAACGCAAAGCTTGCTGCTAAGGAAGAGGCGGACGCTAAAGCTGCTCTTGAAGCCAAGGAGAAGGAGGATGCTGAAGCTGCCAAGAAGGCTGAGACTGACGAGGCTGAGAAGAAGCGCATCGAAGACGAAGAGATGGAGCGCATGATTGCTGAGATGGAGGCAGAAGAGAAGAAGCGCGAAGAAGATGAGAAGCGTTACGCCGAGGAGAAGGCGAAGAAGGCTGAGGCTGAGAAGGCCAACGCTGCCGAGAAGGTCAAGCAGGAAGAAGAGCGTCTGCGCAAGCTAGAGCGCGAAGCCGAAGAGGCTGAAGCCGCTCGCGCGGCAGAGACTCCTGAGCAAAAGGCTGAACGCGAGGCCAAGGACAAAGCTCTCTTCGCAAGCCTGAAGAAGAACACCATGTTCGGTCCTGGTGCCTCCCAGACTGAGGAAGAGGCGGCTCCCGCTGAATCTGCAGCTCCTGTCGTCGCACCTGCACCTTCCAAGACTCCCACTGGCTCCAAGCCCAAGCCAGCTGCTCTCAAGCTCGAGACGAACAAGTCCGTCGAGCCAGCACAGCCGACTGCTGGTATGCAGGCGCTCAAGACTGCGCGTTTCCTCGAAGTTCGTGCTGAGGTCATGTATCCTCAAGGCGTAGCCAGCCCGAATCCGGCTCTCAACAACAGTAACCGAAGCAAGGGTCGCCAGTACGACAAGGACTTCCTCTTGCAATTCCAGGATGTCTTCAAGGAGAAGCCATCTGTTGACTGGGACATGAAGCTCAAGGAGACAGTCGGTGATGAGCCCCAATCGGCTCGCGGTCCCCCTTCTGCTCGTCCCGGTTCTATGCATCTGGGCGCCGGTGGACGTCAAGGTTCTCGCCCTGGCGGAGGCGGTGGCGGCGGAATGGGTACCTTTGGGCAAGGTGGTGGATTCCAGCCAGGCGGCCGCACACTCCCGGCAGGTACGACATCCGAACAGCGTTTCCAGCAATCCCAAGGCGGACGCGGTGGCTCTATGACGAATCCTCTTGCTCATGTCGTTCTAGGTGGAGGTCGTGGTGGTTTCCCCATGGGCGGTAGCATGGGAGGACGTCAAAGCTCCTACCAAAGCTCGCATGGACCCCAGTCCCCTCGCGTTAACAGCCGCAAGGGCGGCAGCCAAAGCAGCCGTCCCGGTGGTCGCCCCGGCAACGCTCAAGACGCCAAGCAAATGCCATTGACCGCCGGCCAGGAAGTCAAGGCACTTCAACGCTCGCAAACTGGTTGGGTTCCTACGTCTCTTACTCAGCCTGCTGCTGTCCAGGCTCAAATGAGCGCGGGCCACTTGGCTCCCGACATGGTACAGCGTAAGGTCAAGGCCGCTCTCAACAAGATGACACCCGACAAGTTCGACAAGATCTCCGATCAAATCCTTGAGATCGCTGGACAGTCCAAGGATGAGACTGACGGACGCACTCTTCGCCAGGTCATTCAGCTCACCTTCGAGAAGGCTTGTGACGAGTCTCATTGGTCGTCCATGTACGCCAAGTTCTGCAGCCGCATGTTGCAGACTATGAGCACCGAGATCAAGGATGAGAATGTCCGCGACAAGCACGGTGCGCCAGTTGTCGGTGGTGCTCTCTTCCGTAAGTACCTCCTCAACCGCTGTCAAGAGGAGTTTGAGCGTGGTTGGGAAGTCAACCTGCCCGAAGCGCCTGAAGGCGAGAAGGAGGCGAAGCTTCTGTCGGACGAGTACTACGTTGCCGCCGCAGCCAAGCGTAAGGGTCTCGGTCTTATTCAGTTCATCGGAGAGCTATATAAGCTAGGCATGTTGACTCTACGCATTATGCACGAGTGTGTGCTCAAGCTTCTCGACTTTGAGGGTCTTCCCGACGAGGCCGCTATTGAGAGTTTGGTCAAGCTGCTCCGCACTGTAGGTGCCACGATGGAGTCCGCCGAGGCTGGCCCCAAGATGATCAACATGTACTTCGAGCGTATCGAGAAGGTCATGAACATGGAGGGTCTTCCTTCGCGTATGCACTTCATGTTGCTCGACACCGTCGACATGCGCAAGTCCGGCTGGAAGTCCAAGGACATCCTCAAGGGCCCCAAGACCATTGCCGAGATTCATCAAGAAGCCATGGCAGCCCAGCAGGCCGCCGAGATGGAGCGCACACGATCAAATCAACGCGGTGGTGGTGGCCGTCTTCCTATGGGCCGCGGCGACGCTCGCTCGTTCTCAGGTGGTGGCATGCAGCCTCCTCCAGACACTGGCAGCCGTGTCCAAATGGACGATCTCCGCAAGCTGTCCAAGGGTGCTTCTGGACGCAATCTCAACAATGCTGGAGCTCTCGGCCCGTCCATGCTTGGTAACCGCACCGGCAGCCGCCGTGGCCTCGGTCCCAGCATGATGGGTAGTCGTGAAGACTCCAACGCCTCTTCGCGCAACGGCACACCACCAGTCCAAAAGGAGAAGGAGGCCACTGCTCATGCAAACGCTTTCAGGTAAGTTCCTGTACTGATCGTGCTTGAGATCTTTACTAACAAATGTCATAGTGCACTTGCTGCTCTTAGCAACGAAGACGCCGGCGAGGCTGGCTCCACTTCCAACGCCGCAGATGAGTCTGCTGCCGACACGGAGGCCAAGCCTTCCGAGTGATTACCTTTCCTTTCGAGCGCGTGACGGTTATACCCATAGACCACACCGCACGCGGTAATCTAATCGCCTGTTTCGTTGCATAGAAGGGGGCATCAGCGCGCGCATTGTTCTGCATTTCGCGGGGTTTCATTACTGCGACTCTCAAGACTGGTGGATTTCAAAAGTTTCCTTGTTGTCTGACGGCCGGTCTCACGAAATGGGTTTGGGTGTTCAAACCATTGGTCGGATCAAGCCCCGACGACTCTTTCATGCGCATGCTTCATGACGGCGTTCCGGATCTGAAGATGGGGACGGTCTACACCACACGCTTTTCACGAGCGCCCTGGTTGGGCTTTTTGGCCGAGTTTTCCTCAGTTCGTCATTTTTTCGCGCTGCGATTTCCTTAGGGTAGGGAGGACCAAGAGGTAGAAGGAGTACCGTGTCTTCCTGTGGAGGTATCTCCAATCCCGCTCCCCCTTCATGCGCATGTTATCCTCCTTTCCTTCTTTGTGCCTTTTACAGAGAGTGGTGGCTTGGTGATGCGGTGTCCGCCGACGATAGCAAGCTTGCTTAGGCATGCACTTGCGAAAAAGATCCTGCGTACACGAGAGCAAGATTTACGAGGAGATGACTCTTTGTGCAATAGCTTGATCTAGTTAGAATAAACTGGTAAAATTTTATGACTCTGCTTTTGTCTGTGATGCTGTCTGTAATGCGCCTCGGCCTGGGCAGGTCTGCGTACGCCCCCGTGACCGTTGAACGCACGTTCTCCGTCAATGATGTGATGTGATGCAAATGTCGATCTTTCTGCGTAGCGTTGGCTGACGGCAGGAGCGTTGCGCGTCTTTGCGCAACTTCCAGGTGAGGGGCACCGCAGGGATGCAGGTGAGGATGGCGCAAGTGGCTACGTCATAAGGACAGAGTGGTCAACCACATATCAGAACATCAAGCTGGTCGAAGTAAACACATTACACCTCGCTCTCAACACTTTGCACTTACGACTTCCTGACTTGAAACTTCAGACATCCTCATATCACGATCCAGCCCAAAGTACGAGCGTATCGCACGAAGCAACCATGTCCGACCAGAACAACCAACAAAAGGGCTTCTTCGGCACCGCTGCCAGCGGTCTTGGTACGTTTTACGAACCCCCGTTCAACCCATGCACCCTAAGCTCCGTGGGAGATATGCTAACAGTCCAGGAAATACCCTAGGCGCAGCAACAAACACCGTCGGCAAGGGCGTCCAAGGCGTCACTGACGCTACCGGCAATGTCGTCGCGGCTGGTGGAAAGGGACTCGGTGATGCTGTCACGGGGATTACGCAGGGGGCTGGGGATACTACCAAAGGTGAGTAACACAGGGTGTTGCGGTAGTGGAAAGTGCGAGGTTGGGAGGAGATGTGGCTAACGTGCAGCAGCGGCGGGCAACTTCGTTGGCGATACCACCAAGGCGGGCGGCAGGAGCGTAGGTATCGAGCAGAAGGATAACCAGACTGGTGGACAGTAGGGGGATGGGGAAGCCTCACGGTGATGGCGGAGTTGACGGGCATGAAGGAGAAGAAAGCCAACGAGTTTTGTTGCGGCCGGTATCATGCCGATGAACAATGAAAGTATATGAACACGAAAAGTATATCTATGTAGATTCGTGATGCGCCAGTGCATGCGGACTCTTTGGGCGTAACATGATCTTACATCACTAGACTGATCACCCACGCTAGCTCGAGTGCCGTGCGCGTTGAGGGGTATAAATACCGCCTTTCCTCTTTCCCAACCTTCCTTTCGCTTCGTCTTCTACTTCCAGTTCAATTTCTCCAAATGTGTCAGAAGAACCCTCCATGGGTGAGCGTCGACGCCAAACTCAAAAGCTCGTCCTAGGTCTTTCATGGAGTTCTTGCTTGAACCAGAAAGTTAGGAACGCAAGTTTCATCTCGTTTCTTGCCAACCACGCTCTCAGTGAGCTATCTCTAAAAGAATCCGATGGCATGGCATGTTTGTCCCGTCCTGTGAACAAAACGGCCCAACAAGCTGTCCATGTGGAATTCCTTGGTGATGAACTTTGGATGGCTTGCAAAAGAGCCCGAGCACAGTGCCATGGCTCTCTGTCCACAATCTTTGAAAGCGGATGCCTCCTGGTACATGATCGCATGTACGAGCCCTCAATATTTACCAGAGCCAAATATGACAACCATGTAAGAAATGTGTGTTACCTCGCTGGCTTCACATCACATCCTCGAGCCGTGCGCTGGCGGTATAAAAACTTCGCTCTGTTCTCCTCATTCTTGCTCTTAATATCCACAGCCTTTCGGCCTTTCCCAAAAAAGATAGAACCACGGTGGATGGAGTCCTGCCTCCTCCGCCTTTCTGTAAGATTGCACGGCAGCATTTATGTTCCCGCGTGCCGCCCTCTCTCCCAAAAACCTCGAGTCGTATTGGCTATGGAAGTTGAAGTCTTTCAAAAGTCATTCCCAAGTGGTTAGATGGAAGAGTGGAGTTTCTCTTCCTGCGGCACTATAAAGTGCTCTGCACCCGCATAGGGCTCACACCTCCATCTCAATGGATCGCTGTCGGGTTCTCGAAAAACCGTTTTAGAGCGTTCTGGTGCGCTCTAAGGGACCCTCTCCCGCTGTTATCATTCAAAAAGCCATCGATGTTGAAGGAACGTGCTGGCCTTATTTGACCAAAGAAACACGACAGCAATCGGGTCATGTTGCTTTCGCGTGTCTCAATACTGAAGAAGCTTATGCGATGGCCCTGACGCACGGAACTGCTTGTATACAAAGCGTCTTTTCTTCGACTGTTCTCTTTCGTCTTCTACATCTCCAGGAGTGTATCTACCAAGATAAAAAGGAATCGGCACGTGGCTGCTGTCTCTCGCGCCTTCTCAAATTCGCCGGGTATAAGCTCATGCGCGTATCCTGCCCTTTTAAAACTGGCCATCGATTACTACATGTGTCTTCCAGTGGCTGAGATACGTTTTCATGATGCTGCCGAGCACCTTTCTCCAAAATTTACCCGACATCCGACCCATGTGGCAGGACGTGGACACCAAAAACCATACGAGTAGAAGGATGTGAACATCGACTCGAACGCTCGCATATGCGAGATGTTGTAGTCACGTCTTATGAGGTAGTTGTCGGTGGCTGCTTGTAGATGTACAGTTTGGCTTTGCTGGCAGTCTTCCCAAAAATAAAACGCAACAGCTCGGTTTCATGTTGGCTCTTGGATCTAGCGACGAGATCACTAGTGTCATTTCCTCTTTTACGTATAAAGCTACGCCCTCACGTAGTTGTTTGTACAATAAAATGCTATACTTTAATCCAAAAACGAAAGCTTTTTATGAACATAAAGTTGGTTGGGCTGCGGCTCTCGGAGTCAAAACGAAACCAAAAGAAGGCGGTTTTATGATTCTCTCTCTTTGCAGGTTTGAGCTATCTAGATGAGAAGACAGGCGTGTCGTGACATTGATGAACGCCACAGGAATCCGCTTCCGGGGGGCTGAACATCTGGTGATTCTTTCCCCACTGCACCTGGTTTCAATTCAATTGACGCAATGATCAAGTACAGCCTCCTCACGTGTGACATGTCGCAATGTGGTGAAAATAAGCGTGACTCAACTCCATGGCCACTGTCTTTGGGAGTCGTCGTAATACACGAGATGGAATACGAGATACATATCCTTTTGAAATAGTGAAGGAACTTTCCAGAATGGAGTGAGTGCCTACGTTAAAGCTGATGACGTAGAAATTCCAGGATAAGTACACTCACATTCCTCCGATCATAACGAGAGACATGGTATATGAACAATATAATACAGTCATGAACCTGTCGTACTGGCTCTCCTCACGCGACACTCAAATAATCAACTAGCCGTCTCTACGAGCGGCTGATCTCCACATGCCGACTAACAACAATACTATCCTTGTTGTTACTCAGAAACTGATCGTTCTTCTCCAAAATTTCCTTCTGACTCTCGCTATCGCTCGATACACTAACGCGTCCCGCATGAACCTTGATCGTCGGCATATGCGTCTCCTGGTTGTCCGCGACCGTGCCGAGCTCGAGTTCGTGGTCGAAAGGCTTGTAGCGGTGGGAGCGATCCGGGTTGCTGAGACCGTGGGGTGTGCCCGAGCGAGGCTGGTAAGAGCCGCTTGAGCCGAGGTGTAGTAGGCGCTGGAAGAGTGGGCGGAGGGTTGCGATGTTGCCGACAAGCATACCGAGGGCGGGTTCGGCGTAACCCCAGATGAGGATGTTGGCGAGGCCGTCTGCGAGCGGTGTTAGTGTTGTGGTGTGGTGAGAGGATGGGTAGTGCTTACAAAGATAGTCGTGGCTGCTCGTCAGGCCAACGGTGTACTTCAGGCGGACTAAGCCTGAGATAGATGTGCTGCAGCAATGTTAGCGGTGTGCAGACATCAGATTCATGGGTTGCCATACAAAATCCCCAAGCTCAGGATGCCGCCGACTGAGATCTTAGTGTTCCTGTTCATTTGCACATTCCAGAGTAGAGCGATTGGCCTGGTCATGGTTAGCGCATATTCGATAGCAGAATCATGTGTGACCTACATGAGCGCAGTAGCCCAGTCTGTGAAGATGTTGACCGAAGTGCAGAAGAAGTAGACATTTTGCAGATACACTGGAGGCTGGCAGTAAGTCCCTTCGGCCATGAGATCAGCCCTCCAAGCAGCCCTGAAAAGTATACAGTTAGCATTGCCCACATGACGCCGAATCATTATGTACTTACTCGACCGGCCAACACTGGAAGATGATATACAGGATAGCTCCCAGATTGGTCGCTGCGCAGAGGCCCATGATGCCGTAGTTGATGTAGATGTAAACCATCCTCCTGCCAGCTATCCGGTTCAGCATGAAGGCGATGCTCAACTTGACGAAGATGATTGATGTGCAATAGAAGACCTCATAGAGGAAGAACCACTAAATGTCGTTAGCGACCGACCAATTCCGAGATACACTGGACGATGACTCACGAAGTATGCTGTCTCGACGTATTTTTGGTTGCCAGGCTTAGCAAAAGTACTGTCTTTGGCACCGATGCCATAATAGGAGCCAATGGTGGTGACGATGGTCAGTGTCATGAGAGGCAACTGTGGTGAGTGAGCTCAGTGTATTCTCGACAACTGCGAAGGTTGGATACATACGCATCCTACTGCCATAACCCAGTCCTCGAGAGCCCAACTCTGCTTGGTGATTCTGACATATGCTCGCATACCCATCGTGATGAAGGCAAGCAGTCCCGTCACAAGGACGGTCGCCGTGAGGTTGGGGCCTAGATCCTGCATCAAAGTCAGCTCCACTCGAGGCGTCTCAATTGGTTCAGCTTACCTCATGAAGTGTCATTCTGAGATGCCTTTGTGAATTATAGTTGCTTTTCAGTACTTCTTCTTCGTGATGAGCTACAGCTGGTGCTCTCAAACAACTTGCGGAGTTGAATGTGGCTAGAGTGGGGGGAAGTTTGACATTCTTGAGCTGTTGAAGTATACAAACAGTGCTGCAGAGACCAAGATTCCAAGAGAATGGATGGAACACTCTGCATTCACAGCCTGGTATAAGATCGCCAAAGAATTTCCCGCATCCCCTTCACCCGCATGGGTGTGCATTCGGCCGATCAGGGCGCCGAGAAAGGACATGCAGCACGGGTTCCGCTATCACGACATGTCTTACTGCCCCTGATACTGCCATCACGATCCATCGTTTTCGGGTACCCGCATTCCTGCTGACGTCGTCACACCTCGGTATTCCGATGTGTGCAGATCTCCAGAGTTAGACAGATATCGCGTGCGAATGTGTGTAGTTCAGCTTGTCAAATGGAAACATGAGTCGCCAGACGAATGACTTCGTGCCGATAGCGATGTCGATACGATTCGGGCCGGACTGAGAAAATTGGGTGTTCTGCATCGATCTCAGGTGAATGCCAAAAACAGGGTCCGCAATCCCACGCTAATCTCTAAGCGGAGACAATCATCGCCTTCGTTCGCTCAAACATTCCCAACGGCTTCGCTTGGGACGTTCCGCAACCTTAACACCGCACTGCCGACGCCCCGGTGTCAACATGCCAACGCTTTAATTACATGGTTTGCTGGGGCCAAGTCGTGCTCCATGAGTGGAGACACGACGAGGCGATTATCGCAGCCCGAATGCGGGGCCTCTGTCCCCAGAGCCTCGCATAAGTTAACACAGTGGGCTGTGGTACTTCTAGACTCTGATTAGCATCTTTGCGTTATCTTGCTACAGCGTATTCTTCGTATCGTTTGGAACCAAAGCACATTCACCATGGCCGACCTCAGCAAGCTCCCGAAAGACTTCTATGTCACGTCTATGCAGTTCACGAAGAATGCACACCAAGACGCGTACCCTGCCATCGATCCCAGCATCCCAGAGCATAGCCTGGCAGGAAAGGTAGCCGTCATCACGGGCGCTTCGCGTGGTATAGGAGCCATGGTATGTTGAAACAATTGACCGAAAACGCTCCCCCTTCGCCATGAATTCGCGTCATTATTGCGTCTGCTAAGGCTTGGTCTCGCAGGCAATGGTACCTGCCTTCGTCAAAGCTGGTGTGAAGGGTGTTGTGTTGCTGGCATCCAACGCCGAAAAGCTCGCAGCTACTGAGAAGTCGGTCAAAGAGACGAACCCCAACATCGAAACGCTTACATACGCTCTCGACATCTCCGACACGAAAGGCGTCGAGGCCGCCTTCGAAGCAATCCGGCAGAAATTCGGGCACGCGGATGTCCTCGTCAACGCAGCCGGCGCCATGACTGGAGACGGACCGAAACTGCACGACACGGACCCCGATCAATGGTGGAGGAACTTCGTAAGATCCGTCCCGTTCGCTGCTCATCCCGCAGTGCCTGAGTCGAAAGCGTATGAACTGATACATCCATTGTAGGAGATCAACGGAAAAGGCAACTATCTGCTCATCCGCTCTTTCCTTCGCCTACTGCCTAGCCCCGATACACCTGCCACGATCGTCAACGTAAGCTCATGGCAGGCGTTCTTTACCGTTCCGCCGCTTGGCGCCTACTTCATGTCGAAGTTCATTCTCGACGCGTTGGCTACGTACGTCGCTGCTGAGTACCCGAATGTTACCGCCGTGTCGATGCATCCGGGTCTTGTCGCGACCGACATGCTGCGTGAGCCCTTCCGCTCGCTCTTCAATCAAGACAGCCCGGAGCTTGTTGGCGGTACCGCCGTTTGGTTGTGTCAGGAGAAAGCGAAGTTCTTGAGCGGTCGCTTCATCGCTGCGAACTGGGATGTTGAGGATCTTCTCAGTCGCAAGGAAGAGATTGTGAAGGACGATTTGCTCAAGCTGACATTGAAAGGAGATTTCGGTGTATGATTTCTATAAGCAGCTGCATCGTATGATGAACTTCAATGCTATTCCATGACTATTACCATCTTACTACTGTGCTGACTCATGCGAACATGGATAGTGGTGTCATTCCAAACGTCAGAGCTCTGGGTGGCACTAGCGCACCGGAGAAGTCGTCCCCACGTATAAACACCCTTCAGTCGAGCTATTTGCTTTCCTTCTACAGTTTTTCCCTCCTATACCCAAAAGAAAAAGATGTTGAATACCATGTGTCCGGCTGTGAGAGCTCCGCCGGCTCCAAAATGCGCCTTTCAGATTTCATGTGCTTCGACACCTACAAGTTGAACGCATTCCGCCCATCACCTCTGGTACCATTACGAAAATATATTACAACAACTACGATGATGTGAAATTTCAGACACGTAAGACAAATCCAACAAGCACTAGCATTCCCAGGACGCGGTAGTCTCATCCAGAACACACAATAATCTCGACTTCTTGTCCATGAGTGGTTCAACTGCCATTGAGGACGAGTATATAAACTGTTGTTCACCTCGAAGAGTTGTTCTTCTCCATCCACCACTTTGCCCGGGGAATGCCAAAACACCATACTAAGCTACCATGGCGTTTTGCTGTCCTACCTTCTCCAAAAAGCCTATCTGCACATCTCGATGACTGTTTTCGAGAACCAGTCTCGGTCTACCAAAAGCCATTCCGTTTGACGAAATGGCCATGCGTCTGAATAACAAGAGCGTGCCACGCTGACGAAATGCGAAACTACCCGCCGTTCCATGCACTGACACTCTAAAAGTCGTCGTGGCTCAACTTATGAGAGTTGGAACCGTAAATACTTCCTCATCGTCTGCCACTCTTATCCTTCCGCAACCTCAACTTCGACCCTTTCTCGAAAACCAGATAATGTCGAGCCATGGAAAGTTTTCTGTGACTCCGCCCATACATTGGTTTCAAAACTACATGCAGCTGCCTGATGGCCTACTCTCGTGTCGTGTGGCCAGATCCAGATAGCGACATACAAAATTGCCAACGAGGCCGTGACATGAGCAAGACTAAAAACTACTAGCAGCGTATACATGAAAAGTGTCCATATGAGTACTATCTTCCTGCCTGACATCTAAGCAATCGAAAAATCAAGGCGCTTATGCGCAGTGAACGCTTCTTCCAGCTTATATAAAACCCGAAGTTGCCAGTCTTTCTACTTCCCTCCTCTTTACTTTCTAAAATCTTCAAACTATTAGAAAGAAAACGCAGAGTCCTCCATGCTCCGCCTGGCTCTCTCCTTGTCCAAAAATCGCCGACGCAGACTTGATGAGCGTCGTCTCTCCCACCCCTACGAACATATCCAATACACACAAGAAAACCAGGCTACCATCCGCCATGTGCGCCCAACGCTCAGTCGCGCAGTTTAAAACCTCGTTTTCGGCCCTCTCTGTCCCACGACTTCTCTTACTATCCATACCTCTCGTGCATTCTCTAAAGCCGAAGTAGCATATGCACATGCTGTGCGCGACTGCTGCGCTTCTTCCAAAGTGACCTTTACGCTACCCATGAAAAGCGGCTCTCCGATTTGTATCTACATACCAACTATCAACAAAAGTGCCCTTCGCGGCAAACATGTGCGAGAAGATCATCAGCAACGTGGTATATAAGTCTGTGCTCGCTGCTCCCTCTCGTTTTTCTCTCCCCACCTACGCCTCTTCCCAATTTTACAAAGTCACCATAGCAAAGCGGAATGTTTGTGGTGCTGTCGTCTTCTCTAAGAATACATCCAACACGATGGATGAGAGTCTTGCCTCTATGCTCCTACAAATATATGGAGTGCTCAAAACACTTCTAAAGACTGTGTATGCGCGTCCGTCAAGCGACCAAAACATTATAAAACGCCGCGCTCGCCTCTCTCTATCTTCTTTCCACATCCACGATCTTCTTGCATTTTCCAAAACTATCAGGTTTATACATGTGACCCTGTTCCCCCCAAGTCCAAACATGGCTTTGTTTCGACATGTGAGGATTGTTCCCCCACCCTTCGAGTAACATATCGAGTACCACAAAGGATTGAATACACCAACGATGTGGAGTAGCGAGCTGGTTAAAAACAGATGTTACTTCCGAAATGGCTCTTCCCCTCCCTTCGCCAACGCATTCACCTTTACCTCATTCTCTCCAAAAAGATCAATCTACTTTGGATGTTGCGCAAAGAGCAAAGTCCCCACTCCAAAAGGAGTGCAATATGATAACATGAGAAGCACCCGCGCAACTATTCGAAAATCACTCCAATTACCAAAGGTACTTCAAAGGAAAGCACATGCGCTGCGGATAAATTGCGCCCTGGGTATATAAACCTCTTCCCGCCTCTTCTCTGCTTTCTTCTCCATACACCTTCCTACCTTCAATTCTTCAAAACAATCATCAAGAGCCTCATGTGGTGCGAAGTGACTTGTTCCTCTCCTACTTGAGATTTTCTCAACCTCTTTACACGAGAGACATCTTCTCAAACCTTACATCGATATACTCACTACCAAAAGAACGAGAGCGTATACGATCTGCGGCACGTGGGTGAAGGAAAATAAAACCTCCGCTTGACTTTCTTCTCCCTTTCTCTTCAACATCCACAGTTCCTTCCGTTTCTCAAAAGAAAACGACGGCAACGCTTGGGATGTCTGCTGCGCTTCTTTCCAAAGTTACAGTTCCTACACGACATGAGCTGTGCTCTTCTCTTCAAGAATACTTTGTGAGATGGCATGAGCTGTGTTCTCCTCTTCAAAACTCCAAACCGGTCTGAGGATGAGGTGTGTTCTTCTCAAAATCACAGACGTTCAATCTATGTGGTGAGTGCTGTCGTGCCGTTGTCCAAAGTACCACACAGACAAAGCGGATGCGGTGCGTCCGTTGGGTCGTTCCGCGCCCTTCCTAAAAGCCATCATGTCTAGACCGATGTTTCGTCCGCTTGAACAATGAGCGTGTACACGATAATTAGGTCTGCGAACTGTTATTTCGGCTATAACGCGATGTCGTGAAGGTGGTGATAATCATCAGCAGCAGGCTGGGTCAGTGGTCACACATCGGCGGGGTAATCTGCAGTAAGCGCATCGCACCACCTCCTTTGACATGAACACCACATGACAAAATACACCACACACCACCATACACCAGTCAAAAATAGTCAAAGACTAAACAAGCTTTCATAAGACACACCGATTGATCAAGTTCGGCTTCCATCTATCTACAAACCTATCGTGCACAAACGTGGTCAGCCAGCAAAGGGTTCATGCTGAAAGAGTTTAAATACCAAGAGTGAATTCGACACCGACGTCAATGTCGCGAGCCATCTTGACGACCTTTGAGAACTGGACGGACTTCTCGGCGGCGGCTTGGAGATCGTCGATGGAGAAGATCTTGAGGCCTGAGTCGTTGAGCTAGAACATAACGTGTTAGCATGCATGTATATTAAATTAGTTCTTTTGGCGTGACTTACGAGCTTGTGAGCAGCCTCCATGTTGGTACCCTGCAACCTAGCAATGACAGGGGTCTTGAGGTTCATCTCGTTGACAACCTGGATGAGACCCTTGGCGATAGCGTCGCAACGGACGATACCACCAAAGATGTTGACGAAGATGGCAGTAACCTTGGGGTCGCTGGTGATCAAGTCGAACGCTTGCCTGATAGCCTCAGGTGTAGCACCACCACCAACGTCAAGGAAGTTAGCGGGCGCGCCGCCGTTCAGCTTGATGATGTCCATGGTAGCCATGGCGAGACCGGCACCGTTGACGAGGCAGCCAATGTCACCGTCGAGCTTGATGAAGTTGAGGCCAACCTTGGCGGCCTTGACTTCCTCGGGGTCCTCCTGGGTGATGTCCCTCCAGTCGAAAACCTCCTTCTGGCGGAAGTCGGCGTTGTCGTCGAAGTTGAGCTTGGCGTCCATGGCGAGGACCTGGTGGTCGGTGGTCTCGGAGAGAGGGTTGATCTCGATTTGGGTAGCGTCCTTCTCCATGAAGACCTGGTACAGCTTCTGGATGGTGTCCTTGGCGTCCTCGATGCACTGCTCTGAGAAACCGAGCTCGGTCGCAATGTTGCGGGCAATGTCGTCGGTGACACCCTTGTGGATGTCAATGGGGGTGGTGATGATGGCCTCGGGGTGCTCCTTGGCAACAGTCTCAATGTCCATTCCACCTTGCGACGAAGCGACGATTACGGGTCCTTGTGAAGCGCGGTCCATGAGGATGGCGAGGTAGAACTCGCGGCGGGCGAACTTGCGGTCGACGATGAAGACGGAGTTGCAGAGCCGGCCGGCGGCTCCAGTTTGCTTAGTGATGAGCTTGTGGCCGATCATCTGGTCGGCGAGGATGGAGGCTTCGCGGGGACTGCATGTTGTGTTAGAGGCTAGCTGCCGTGGATGTGTAGTAGCGAAGTAGCATACGAGTAGACGACTCTGACACCGCCCTTGAAGCCATTGTCAAAGGTACCCTTTCCACGGCCTCCAGCAAGAACCTGGGCCTTGATAACGGCATCCTCTCCGCCTGCGCGCATTAGCCCACAATTCTGCATTCACTCTTGCTGTCGCATACCAATCTCCTTGGCGATCTTCTCCGCCTCAGCGCCGCTGGTAGCGACACCACCCTTGGGCACACCGATGCCGTACTGAAATTCGCATTAGATATCTGGACCCTCGAAATTGGTGAAGATGCGGTGGAGTAGTCGTACCGACTCGAGCAGGGCAGCGGACCTGTATTCGTGGATAGCGAGACCTCTCCTTTGCTGGACGACAGAGCGCTTCAACGGTGTCTCCTAGCCCGTGTTAGTACATGACCCCCCAATGTGGTGCACGCTGCGTAAGAGGCTTTCGCAGCTTTGCGGAGTAGGCCCGTGTACATACAGCAGCAGCGCGGACAGCGCGAGCCAGCGGCCGGGCGCGGGCAAAGTTGTACATGATGTCTGAGCGGCAGACACACGTGTGGGTATATGGAGGGGAGTTGGGAGGGGGGTAGAGCTAGAGTGCACAGCTCCGTTGGTGTTGCGGCTTCACAGGGCTGTTGCGGACGTCTGCTAGCGCGCCGAGAATGAACCGGGTCCTCTCAAAAATATCGCGGCCGGGAACTTCTGTAACACCAAGCGACTGGAACTTGATGCACGTCAAAGTAATCGCGCAACCATGTCTAAGCGAGATAATGAGGGCGATGTCATCGCAAATCGCATAAGTCTGCTCGAGGCAAAGGGCCAGAAACTCTTGGCATCGCTGTATGGGTCGCGGCCGGACTGGGGCACTGCGGATGGTCATGCGAAAACACAAGATAAGGACGATGATCAAGATCTGAAACAAAATTACGCTCACGACAGGTAGATATGTATTGTTGTGTCGCCTATTGCATTTCTGACAGTGGATTTAGAATCGGTGTTGGCGGCATAGTTCCCAAGGATATCGAAGATGGCAGCTTCACCAGCAGGATACGAACATCAGACGACAAACTCCTGCAACAACTGATCGGCAAGAAAAAGGCGAAGGCCCATATCACTGCGAAACAAGAAGCTGCGAGACCGAATGCAGCCTCCAAAGCTCAACATTACAAGAAGCTTGCTGCAAAGAAAGAAGAGTCGGACGATGATGAAGAGGGGAGAGCTACGACGTTCAAATCCAAAAGGCAGAAGAAGAAGGTGAAGCAAGAAGCAAAGTCAGTGGACAGCGATGACGAAGATGAAGAAATGAGAGCGAAGAGGTTAGAAGGCGGTGCAGCGAAAGAAGAAGAGAAGGTAATAAAAGAAGAAGTGACTGCAGAAGCTCAAGCAGACGCAAAACCTATCAAGAAGGAGGACGATGATGATGAAGCGGAAGCCACACAGCCAGCACCCAAGAAAGCGAGGACAAAACCAAAGAGCTTCCTCGACGAGATTCTAGCAGAGCGGTCAAAGAAGAAGAGTAAGAAGGGCAAGGCATAGAGACCAGCAGCGACGGGGAGAGAAGGAGCGATGCATGTTTCACGGCGTTAACATTTGTCTTGATTCGATACCCAGTTCCTTCTGAGCAGAGGACCCCTAATTTAATACAACAAAGCTATACTTCTTATCTCCTTCATCTTCTACTCCCTAACAATCAAACTAGCCATCCCCATCCCCGTCCCAATACACTTGCTCAGCACACCAACCTGCTCCCCACTCCTCCCCATGTCACTCAACAGCGTAGCCAACATCCTACCACTCGTCGCTCCCAACGGATGTCCCAACGCGATAGCCCCTCCATTCGGATTCACCTTGTCCATCTTACCCTCTAGCCCCAATGTCCGAATGCAATGCAGCGCCTGACTAGCAAACGCCTCGTTGATCTCCCAGACATTCACATCAGATGTCTGCAGGCCAGTGTAGTCGAGCAGTTTGGGAATAGCTAACGCGGGTCCGATGCCCATTTCGTCCGGGGAGCAGCCAACGACTTGTGTACCCGCCCATTTACCGATGATGTGGGATTCCAGACCGAGGGTTGTGGCGGTGGACCGACGCATCATCAGCGCTGCAGACGCGCCGTCGGAGACTTGACTGCTGTTTCCCGCTGTGCTTGTGCCGTCTTTGATAAACGCAGGTTTCATCTCCGCGAGTTTCTCGACCGTTGTACCAGGCCTGATTCCATCGTCTTTTGTTACGGTGATGCTCTTTGTGTTCTCGGGGACTTCAGGCTCGATCCAGCGGGTGGTAACGGGTACGATTTCGTCGTCGAAGAGGCCGTTTCTCCGTGCTTTGGCGGCCCGCTGTTGCGATTCGGCGGCGAAGGCGTCTTGGTCGGCACGACTGACTCCGTACCGTGATGCGACGTTTTCGGATGTTATACCCATGGCCATTATGCAGTCTCTGGCTTCTTTTACGGGACTTTCTTTCATCTCGGGCCAGAGTTCTGTAGGTACAGCCCTGCTGCCGTAGTTTCGTGTCATGCTTTCCATGCCTCCTGCAATACCAACGTCTATTTGTCCTACTGCAATCGAGTTTGCGATTGAAGTTATAGCGGATAGACCGGATGCGCAGGCGCGGTTTACGGTGCTGAAGGAGGTTGTGGTGGGGATTCCGACGTGGTTCGCTGCCATACGACCAGCTTTCGAGCCACCAAGCTCTGCAAGTACGGTGCCAACACATATATCGTCTATTTTCGCGGGGTCGAGGTTGGGGAATTTGGCCATCGTGGCTTTGAGAACCTGGGGTGCTGTTAGGACTTGAAGCTGTGCATCACTGGTGCTGAGGATGGCATACCGCGCCTAGAAGTTCATGCTCATATGCATCGCGCAGTCCACCCTTCTTTGCCCTTGTGACTGGCGTCCGAAGTGCTGATAAGAAGACAACATCGTGGGGGTTCTTTTGGAGAATGTTCTTGAGACCCTTCTGGATGAAAGCCATTGTGAGACGACGGGCTGCGATGGAACGCTAAAGGACAGGAGGGTATCAAGAAAAGAGGAGAGGCGAAGTGAAGTAACGCCGATGCTTGCGAGTAAAAGACAGAATGTCCTGGCTTTTGCCGCGCGACGAGGCCATGGTTGTTGTAAGCTAAGCTCCAGGTCCGAGGAAAGCGTGGAGCTTCGCTTCGGCAAGTGAGCGCGGGGCGGAGGAATGGCGGCAAAGCTCTCTTCCGCGTCATGCACGGAAAACAAACCCGCATGGAAAAGGCCTGGGCATATGCACGATGATTGATGGGGTTTGAGATACTAGGGAAAGGTGCAAAGAAGGCAATGTCGATTCTGAAGATTTAGCTCAATCTACCTGTGTAGAACTCGTGAGTAGCTACACTCCCAAAGACGACTGCGTCAAGCATCGATCCTCGATCCCATCCGCACCCATGTTGCCTCCGCCAAAATGCTCAAAACTCGTAAGAAAATCGCGTCAGTCGTGTTCAAAGTCGCTAAGACTCAGTGACTCTCTATGCATGCCCCCGAAGTCACCGGTATGGTGAAGTCAAGCTCAAGAGCGAGTGGATGGCCTACGCGGCGGGGTATACGAGGCGGAAAACGTCGTTTAGAACAAACCAGTTGCCCTCAGCGTTCTTGAGCTGGAAGGCCTGGGTGAAGCTCATTGGCTTGTCCTCGCCCGCAAGCTATTCAGTATTAGTCAAAGCCGGGTGTAACGACATTTGAGAACGACTTGCCAAAAGCGCGCCAGTGACGAGCACAAGGATACCATCATCGGCCGAAGGCTGAGCGTCGACGGTGTCGGTACGGTGTTGTATCTGCTGGAATGGCAGGTTCTTCCCTGCATTAGCCCCGTCCCTGTTTCGTGGGCAGAGTCGTCGTTACCTGGAGCTTCTCTACAATGGCGGCTGAACCCTGAGTTCCTTGCGCCTCAAAGGTGAGCATAGAAGTCTCCTTCTATAGCATTTGTCAGCCGACTGCTGCTTTGCGCACACGCTTTCGGGTCGCATACGTAAAGGGCACCGAGACCAGCGCGGTTCTCATCGAAGGTCTTGTAGTAGAACTGGACGAACTGCTCTGAAGCAAGGGTCAGTCGCGGTTTGATGGATGGAGCGATCGCGGAGAGGGTGTCGGCGGGGTTGTGCTTGCTGTATGCGGTGGTACATACGAGCGATGGCGTTGAAGTCGGCTATAGAAAACGTCAGTTCTGGAGAGAGTACACGATGTTGCGAAGTGAGTATGAACATAGCATCATGTCCTCGGTGTCCCGCATCTTCCTAACACAGCCGTGCGCCCACGAATGGAAGCTATACATGTCCGCCGAATGCGCATCGAGGCGGTGGTGGGGTAGTGCTAGGCAACTTACACATCTTTGCGGTTTCTCGAACGTGGCTTGTCTGATCAAGAAAAGAGCTGGCTACGAGGTGGCTGAGAGGTGCGCGACGGCGATAGAGCGATGTGACGTGGAATTCTCGAGAAAGTGTTTGGGCTTTTGCTGTCACTGCCCGCCATCGATGGGCTTCGTTGGTGGGGCAGCCGCTAGGCCTGGAAGGGCTCGGCCCGATCTTCAGCCGGAGCGTGCCATTTTCTTCGAAGCTTCGCGCCTGCTCTTTTCTCTCACATCAACGCTGGCCATCAACAGCTTTATGCAGCACCTATGTTGTGGTCAGCGTCGCGTCGCAATACTCATCGGTAAGTTATCACCATCTCTCTCCACTCCTGCATTATGATGATCAACACAAACGATAACTTCCGAGTCAAAGACGGTGAAGTCCAAAAAATTTCAAGCTCAACAGGCTGATTGCCCATACACACTCTGTATTGTCTATTACATGGAGATGGCATATGCTAACATGTCTTCTTCAGATTGCCATGCACGCGACCGATGCTTTGCCGCTCAAACAAGCGCGCCATCCAAATAGGGTACATAGCCAATCGAATACCGTTGTTCCCGTTCATCTATCCTTCCGAATAATCGATGCGGCCATCTACAATCCCTTCTTCTGGAAGGACTTGACAGAGTCGACGATCGACTGCTCGAAAGTCTTATACTTGAGACCAAGGATGTCGATGGAGCGCTTATTGTTGTATGTGTAGAGGCCCTTCTCAGGTGTGCCTTCTGGGTAGTCGCCGCCAGGTGTTGAGTCGCTTGGCAGGTCCTTGAAGTCGGGGAAGTTCTTCTTAATGATCTGGCATAGCTCCTTGTTGGAGAAGTATCCGGCCGTAACGAAGAAGCGCTTGTTGGCTGCTTCCGGTTTCTCGAATGCAGCTACGTGTGCCTCTGCGACGTCCCGAACATCCACCCACAGATGCACACCACTGGGTGGGATTTCGTCCTTAAACTTGCCTTGTGCCGCAGATAGAATGCGCTGGTTCGAGGTGTTCATGTTGTCAAGGCTGTCAAGAGCGTGGACCTTGATTTATGTTAGCAATTGCATTGAAGCGTGCATCGCATGACTTACAATTGGCCCAAATACCATCGGTGGGTTAATCGTGGAGACGGTGAAGTTGGGCTTCTCCTTCTCAACAAATTCCCACGCAGCCTTCTCAGCGAACGTCTTGCTGGCACGGTATCCCATCATGGGGTTCTCCGTGGCTTCTTCTTGTGTGATCGGGTTCCAGTCGTCCTCAGAGTATGCGTGTCCTGGCCAGAAACCTTTGCTTCCGTTTACAATGGCGGCGAACGAGGATGTGATGACGACATTCTTGACGGAGGGCTACACAGTATCATTAGCATGCGAATGGAAGATGTACACTCTTCGGATTCAACATACCGCACTCTTCTTGATTGACTTCAAGATGCCAGTTGTTCCAATGACAGCAGGGTCAATCAGGTCCTTGGTCTTGTTAGCCAGCTGCCCCATGTTTCATTTCCCAAGCGCACTCACTTTCTGGACATCAGTGACATTGAAGTGGAACGGGCTGGCAGTGTGAAGCACAGCTTCGAATGGAGGGTCTGAGATAACAGCCTTCTCGAAAGCATCTGGTTGAGCGATATCCGGAACAATGGCGAAGCTCAATTGGCCCTTGTCGACGTAGCTCTTGTATGATTCCTTGATCTTGTCCGCCTTCTCCTGGGTGCGCACCGTGGTGACTACACTATGTCCATGGTCTAGGAGGATATCGAGCGTATGCGCAGCGATGAAGCCGCTTCCTCCGGTAAGTAGTACTCGAGTCATTTTAATCTTTTTGCGTGGTTAAGGCGTAAAGTTCAGGTGTTTTGGGCGTCAAAGTCTAGACTTGAAGCTACGAGGGAATGACAGCATATATGTAGCTATGACATCCCACCTAGCGCGGGGTAGAGCTTCCCCGAAATTCGGATTTACTCTCTTTCGCCGTTGTAACTGCCGCCGTCGCTTACGAAACTTGCGTTCGTTCGTAGCTATATCCGCGGCTCGTTCTCCAGAGTATTGCGTCATGCCCGTCATTCATCGATGGGATACTTTTGGTGGGGCATACTGCGTCTTCGTGTCGCCTTCTCGTGGTACAGCGAATAATTGCTGATCTGCAGCTTCTGGTCTCTTTGGCTTTCCAAACGGACTGTGGACCTCCCAATACACCCCACAGCACAGCCAAATCTTCATGTTCAACAAGTCGAGGCCGCCTTCAACTGCCTTGCGCGCCTGCACACCAACAACGTATTCGCGGATTTTGCCGTGCTTTGCGACAAACTTGGGAACTGGAAGTGCGCATGCGCAGTGTGAGGCGTAGTCGTGGGAGGAAAGGGTCTCCTTGTAGCTCGCGGCTTCCAAGTTTCCTTGTAACCTCATGGCTCTCGGCGTCACATCGGGTGGCGCCTCTCTTATTGAGCAAGGGCCCCACCATAGCTCGAGATGCCTCCCACATGGCTTACCCGCCACCCTCAATTACTCTTCCAATCCCATCGCCGCTCTGTACTCTAAGCTTCGCTTAACTGCTCCCGGCGCCTGAACATGGATATATCGGGGCTGAGAAAGGGTCCAACGGTCCTTGATGAGCGGCGTGTGATTGCGGGGCAAGTGGACATGATGAGGGGCAAAGTTTTCTTCCGTTCGATTGCTTCGTTTTCATTACTCGTTCTTTCCTGAGCTATTCATACCTATCGCATTGAAGATGTCGTCACTCAAGAGAAGCCCTCCATTCCGCGCCGAGCACGTTGGCTCATTGCTCCGCCCCCAAGAGCTTGTGCAAAAACGCTACGATGTTGCCTCTGGTAAAGCTAAGCCAGAGGATCTCGTTCCTTTGGAGAACAAGTCTGTCGCGGAGGTCGTCAAGTTCCAGCAGGACTGCGGACTGAAGGTTGTGTCCAGCGGAGAGTACACTAGGTCAATAGTCCAGGTGCTGCTAGTCCGAGTCTAGACTGACCTTTCATGCAGGCACATGTTCTGGGGTACCTTTTTCGAAACACTTCATGGCATGAAGGAACTCCAGCTTGGCGTTTTGAAGGGCTACAACAAGGACATGTTCCGCGCCTATGCGCCGGACGTCAAGTCTTTCATGGAAGCGAAGGAGGTGCCCAACCATGTCACCGTCTGTGTCGACAAGATCAAACACCCTGGCACTTCAAGCAACCAGCGTGAAGTGGACCTGATGAAGAGCCTTTTACCCGAGAGCGAGTGGAAGAACATCAAGATTACTCTGATCTCGCCATCCTGGTACCACTTCCGTTACATGAACGGGAGAGCATACCCCAAGGAGGTCTATGCGAATGACGAGGAGTACTTTGAGGATGTCGCAAAGGCATACCAGGAGGAGCTTAAGATTCTCCACTCGCAGGGTATCAGGAACATTCAGATTGATGACCCCAACCTCGCTTACTTCTGCTCCGAAGACATGCTTGCGGGCTGGAAGGCTGACACAACAAACGAGAAAACTGCCGACGGGATGTTTGAGGCCTATGTCAAGTTCTACAACAAGTGTTTCGAACGTCCAGCAGACATGCATCTCGGCATCCACTTGTGCCGCGGTAACTACGTAGGCAGCAGACACTTTTCTGAAGGTGCATACGACAACATTGCGAAGAAGATGTTCCAGGTATGTTCGTTTCCTTGTGCACAATTATGAAGTGCTGATCTTTGTAGGACTTGAACGTCGACACATACTATTTGGAATACGACACACCACGTGCCGGAGGATTCGAGCCGCTAGCGCATCTACCCAAGCACAAGAACGTCGTGCTTGGTGTAATCACGTCAAAATTCCCCAAGCTCGAGGACAAGGACGAAATGATCGCCAGGGTGAATCAAGCCGCTGATTGGATTGCAAAGGGTACCGGCCAATCGCGCGAGGACGCCATTCAGCAATGCTGTGTCAGTCCACAATGCGGTTTCGCATCACACGCGGAAGGCAATTCGCTCGGTTACGAAGACATGAGGAAGAAGCTGCAACTCGTCAGGAGCATTGCCGATGCCGTGTGGCCGGGCCAACCATAGACGCGGGAATAACTGATAGGGGAGTTTTCGAGAAGGCGCAGGTACCGAGCGACAGAACGTAAGCCTTAACGCATGCGACTAGAGCGAGCATTGGAAGGTGTTGTGGAGTTAGCCGAATGCCGAATTCAACATGGCGTTCGTACGGTGGGTGGAGTCGTAGTTGAGTCAGTTCACTCAGTGCCTCGTGGCGAAAAAGAAAAAGGCGGTTCCTGCGGCAGTGCATCGCACCACGTGGTATTCCGTCATCGTTCTCGGCGAAGAAGTCGGCAATCTACAGAAGCACGTTAAGTCCGTTCGCATACATCGCAGTGCCTATCGTGAAGTCCAGGTCCAGAGGGTTTTCAATGCACGTTGCTGCTAACCTGCATTAGGCACTAGCGTCCGCTGTCCCTGGCCGTTGACTCCACATCCGTGGAGTTCCCTTCCGAAGCGGGAGGAACGTCCGGCAATTAGGAATTGACAGACCAGGGTAAGCGTCCTTGACAGGAGAAATCATCATTTCCTGACCTGGACTCCTGGGTCGGTGCGGAACGCAACGGGGAAAGCGTTTTCACTCCGCGGATGCGTGTTGCCACGACATCCATAGATAGCACGATGAACAACAAAAGAACCAAGGCAGTTGAAGCAAGCTGTATACCTGCCACCATGAGACACGTTTCTTCGAAGGAAATACGACTACCGACGCTACTGAGCTCACGGATCCATGAGCGCTGTTGTCACTCTCCAGATCCCAATGGTTCCGTCCCGTGGCGCAAATTGCAACCTGCAAGGTACCCTAGAACGACTCGTATGATCTACGTGCCGGACCGAATGAAAGCATTGTTTTCCAGACCAAGAAGGGATCAACCACCGCGACTACTGAACACCACCTGTTTGGTAAGTATCCTACCAATGGTTTTTCGTCCGAGGTCGAAGTCGTTCGGCATTGCAAGCCACCACCGGAGAATAGGGGGATGACGACCTACGCGGTTCGTAAAGGATATAAAGCTCGGTAAGGCTGCTCAGTGTAAGATCAAGCAGGCCAATTTACAGCCTCTGTCATTCTTTCTTTAAATACCCACCCGAACAGCAAAGTAATACCTAATCACCATGTTCTTCCCTCGCTTAATCGGCTACTCAGTCGCAGCCTTTGCTTCCCTTGCGGTGGCTGTCGACCTGACTGGCTATGAATACGTAGTCGTCGGCTCTGGTGCAGGTGGTGGTGTAAGTTGAAAAAGATCTGACCGGATGTAACAATTACTGACCCTCGTCTCAGCCTCTGGCCGCCCGCCTCGCCCTTGCCGGTCACAAGACGCTTCTCATCGAAGCTGGTGACGACCAAGGTGCCAGCCAGAACTACACCATTCCTGCTTTCAACGCCAGGGTTTCTGAAGACCCCAACCTGAGCTGGAACTTCTACGTCAAGCACTACGCTGATGAGCAGCGCCAAGCTCGCGACTACAAGACCTCCTACGAGACTGTCGATGGAGGCGAGTACACTGGTCTCAGCCCACCTGAGGGCTCCACCATGAAGGGTACGCTATACCCACGTACTGGTACCCTCGGTGGATGCACAGCCCACAATGCTCTCATCGCCGTCTACCCTCACCAGTCCGACTTCGACAATGTTGCTGCCATCACTGGTGACGACTCCTGGTCAGCCAAGAACATGCGCAAGTACTTCGAGAAGCTCGAGTCCAACCACTACCTCCTCCCCGGCCAGAAGGGCCACGGTTACGAGGGATGGCTCGGAACCTCGTACGCACCCATCGACATCGTTACCTCTGACCCCAAGCTTCTCAGCTTGGTTGGCGGTGCCGCTTTCGCCCTTTCCAACATGACCAATGCCATTGTCAACCTTGGCACCCTCATCGCTGGTGATGCTAACGCCGACACTGAGAGCCGTGACAAGTCCAACGCTCTCTACCAAATCCCTCTCTCCACCACCGATGGCAAGCGCACTGGTTCCCGCGAGTTTGTCCTCGCTGTCCGCGACGCAAAGAACGAGGACGGCAGCAAGCAGTACCCTCTCGATGTCAGACTCAACTGCCACGTCACCAAGATCACCTTCGACCAGGACGTTACTCCTCCCCGCGCTACCGGTGTTGAGTTTCTCGACGGCCAGTACCTCTACAAGGCCAGCCCCAAGAACACCGGCGCTGCTGGTGAGCCCGGTTCCGCCACCGCTTCCAAGGAGGTCATTGTCGCTGGAGGAACCTACAACTCTCCCCAACTCCTCAAGCTCAGTGGTGTCGGCCCAGCCGACGAGCTGAACAAGTTCGACATCCCCGTCGTTGCTGACCTCCCCGGTGTCGGAACCAACCTCCAAGACCACTACGAGATCAACGTACAGGGCAAGGCTCCTTCTGACTTCTCCGCCCTGGACGGCTGCACCTTTGGCAACACCGACGACGACGCTTGCATCGACCGCTGGGAGAACTCCATCCTCGGCAACCGCGGCATCTACGCTTCCCCCGGTCTCGGTGCCACCATGTTCTACAAGTCCAGTGTCTCCGAGCGCGACGAGTACGACATCTTCGCCTTCGGTGGCCCCGTCAACTTCCGTGGTTACTTCCCCGGCTACAGCTACAACGCTACCTCTGAGCACGACTGGTTCACCTGGGCCATCCTCAAGGCGCACCCGCGCAACAACGCCGGAACCGTTGCTCTCCGCTCTGCCGACCCTCTCGACGTCCCCGAGATCACTTACAACTACTTCGACACCGGTGTTGGCGACTACGAGAAGGATCTCACTGCCCTCACCGAGGCTGTCGACCTCGCCCGCGACTCTTTCAAGCGCCAGCTTGTCCCCATTGACGAAGTTCTCCCCGGCAAGGACGCCAACACCCCCGAGAAGATTGCTCAGTATGCCAAGGACACTGCTTGGGGCCACCACTGCTCGTCTACTTGCCCTATTGGTGCTGATGACGATAAGATGGCTGTTCTTGACTCGAAGTTCCAGGTCCGTGGTGTTCAGGGATTGAGGGTTGTTGATGCCAGTGTCTTCCCCAAGATTCCTGGTACCTTCACTGCTGTGTCTACGTACATGGTCGCGGAGAAGGCGGCGGATGTTATCCTCGCTGCTGTTGAGGCTTAAGAAGTCGTTTGATGTGTTCATGTCAAGAACCCTGCTGTATATAGACGAGAGAATATGATGATGTGTTTCCAACTGCAATTCGCCTAGACTTCCCATAAACCGCAATGTTCAGAGCACCTTGCACTAACGTATCCGTTGCAGCGTTCCTCACTTCAGTACTTTTTCTTCGCACATATGTTACTACGGACAGGTTATGACTTCGAAATATTGAGGCACAATACCTCTCACGTATTAGCGAGTTTGGTGAGCAATGGTGATTAACTGCTGCGTCACTGAGCGGTTCAGTACCCGTGATGTTGGTAGGTGGCCTTGGTTCATCGATCAATAGAAGGTGGTCCGTGCGCCCACAAAACTGCAGCATTCTCATGTAAACTCGCACCTTAAAACTCATCTGAGCAGGCTGAAATAGTGTCAGAGTAGTCTCCTGAGTTCGCTCTTCTCCCCATAACTTTTTGTGCTCGTTTCAATACGATCTCGTGCGCGTAAACTCGCGCGCAGGTGTCGGCCACATACATGGACATGGAAGAGCTAGGAGACGGGCGCCAAGAACGCCACCTCAGCCTCGTGCATAATGGCCTTCCACCACATTCGCCCACGTCTCCCTCGACTCAACTAACCCAACCTGTCTTGAGGTAAGTATTCCTTTCTATGCACTGTCGGCCATTCGGTGCGCGTGTTTCCTTACTCCTTACGTAGCTCCGCTAAGCACATTCAAGTTACGAGACACGCGATCAAGAGCCGTCGTCACTGGCCTGCAATGCCGACTATCAACAATACACATGGCCATGGTCTGCAAATCATGCTGAATCTGCACCTGTCAATCCTGATGGCTTTGACACCTCTCATTCAAGTCCCTCGTTCCTGGGGCCAGACGACATATCTTGGTTCCATGAGCATGTTCGAGCTCAGCGCATCAGGCCTGAATATATCGCGCTCCCGGAAGTGGAGCTGATGCCAGCTTGGTTCGACTATGGAACCCTTGAGCCTATTGTGGAGTGCTGCGATACCGCCGACTCCCTCGTATATGCAGGTTCTACTTCTCCGCCTCCAAGTTTAGTCGGCACAAATGACTCGTCCCTCGCCGCCCTCAACGATGAACCGCCTGTATGGCACACGCAAGAGATGCCAGATGGCAGTGTGGATAGCAGTCCCCATAGCCGCATGGATCCCGTCAAGCGCTGGCTTCATGATCATCCCTTCGATCGATATCCTACCCGTGAGGAGAAGGCAGACCTTGCTGCTGCAGCTGGGCTATCGAGTCTCCAGTTAAGGCGACGCTTGACTAATCTTAGGAAGCGTGAGAGACTCAGTCAGTAGTGCCGAATTTGCCGATGCATAACGTCTATCAAGGGCTGACTATCCTCTAGCACTTGACCAGTTGTGCAACGAGTCAGAGGCTGCGCTTCAGGGGTTCGAGAGCCGCGACAGAAGGACAAAACCCTTTTACGGAAGCGCGCAAACAGGATGTGGGCATGCACACCAAGGTAAGACCTTTCTCGTCTGTGAGATGATAGCATACAGCCCGACACCAGCACACCATATAGCAAGGGCTTCGGGTGCTGCGACCAAATATTGTCTTTTCAAACCTCTATCGTCATTGTGTACACCGGGAGCTGACGACTTTCTAGGTCGCAAGGGAAAGAGACTGTATTCATCAAGACATTCATCTGCCGTAAGGGAGTTAGTGCGAGGACATTCCTCCCACGTAGCTAGCGACAGCAGTGGAACTACAGCCAAACGGTTTCACTGCACGATGTGTCTAAAGCCCTTCAAGAACTCGTACCTTTGGAGGCGACACGAGTCTGGAGTTCATGGCTTCGGTAGTACCCGATGGATCTGCACACTTGACAGCACAGTCATGATAGGTGCGAAGTGCATCTTCTGCTCCGAAATCGTTTACAATATGGACCACTTCGACCAACACAACGTCCAAATCTGCTTGGCAAAAGACAAGGCTGAGCGAGTCTTCGATCGCAAAGACCTTCTCAAGCAGCACGTACAGTATGTGCATCTCACCTCAGCCAACGACTACACGAAAAGAGGATTTGAGCCTCCAGACGCGTGGCTAGAAACGGAGGACAGTTTCTTGCCGAATCCTGAAGGTCTCTGGTGTGGCTTCTGTCAGCTCACATTTGAAACAGTTGCCAAAAGGATGATACACGTTGCACAGCACTTTCAGGATGGGGTTGATATGGTTGACTGGGTTCGAAGATTGGATCTTGCAAACAGCGCGATGGCTTGAATTTATGTACTAACGATTTCCCTTTGTATCTTGTTTTCGCATCAACACTTCTAGGGCGGCCGCGTACAGAGAATATATAGAGCGACCGACCCATGTTATGACCATTATGAGCGACTTGTTTCGATGAAGTAGGTTTAAGCGACTGTCTCGTACTCTCTTTGCAACAATTTTGATCGCGACTTTGCGCAGCTATGGCTGGACGCACCTGATACAAGACCAATTGATTCATGCGAATAACCTGGGGGTGCTACCTAACATTTGTAAGAAAATGGAGGTGCCTGATCTGAGACGTTCATCCCCGAGGTCACTTACATGGTTGAGGAAAACGAGGCGGATATTATCCTGGCTGCTGCTGAGGCTTAGATCAGGATGGAATAGGATAAGATCGCCTGTATGTATTGATGGTGTAGTGACTTGGTCATGAGAAGAACATGATATCCGATACACAATTGGTTGACTCGTTCCAGAGATCTACTGCTCTTACCTTTGTGATATACCTAGGTACACTTCGCACAGTTGATCAGATGAGATCTTTGGGCCTACTGCTGCGATACAGGGGCCGGTAGATGAGGAGAGGCAGCTTATCCAGAGCAGTCTCTCTTGTGGATTGCTCGCGCCACGCTGAATACCCGGGTACGGCCATCTTTACGGAATTCCCAAACGTGAGGCAGTACCAGAATCAGCAAAGTAGAGGTGGTTGATGTGCACGTGATCTGGACACCGCCTGGCTTTGAATGGCGGTGGAGGTCATCGCATGTCGTCTAACCAGATTTGAACTCTTCAAGGTCTTTACACAGAAGTTTTCTGCGATGCCTTGAAACTCGTTCTAAATGCTCATAACATGTTTCGAAAGCCGTCTGAGACTCTGTCACCTTTTCCCCGTTTTCGAAATACTTTTCTGGACGTTGGTTGTTGCTGTGCTAAAATCACTTCTGTACTCGGATAGCAAAGGCTTGGCGACGGACCCACCTGAGCATGGACCTCTCGCCTACGATGGCCGACCCTACCAGCGTACGTCAGGCTCATGCCCCGCTGAGCCCCTTCCAAGGTTCCTGGAGCCGCCTCGAAGGGATCTACAATTGAACACTCTAACAACGCACCAGGGTTCCCAGCAGAATGATACTATAACATTACGTAGTTACTCTGATACTGCAAACTGCAAGGAACAAAGGTATCGCTAGCGATCTTATTATCGCATCATCGCTTTCCTAGCTTCGCGTATGACGTTGCGCGCGCACTTCATCGCGGCTGACCTGTCCAAGGCTGTATGCACACTGTCAAACACGTTCACACCTTTGAAATCCTTTTGTACACAGCTAATCATACTTAGTAACAGACAAATATGGGATGAAGCCTTACTGGACGTGGACACCGATATAGTCTTCCATCGTAACGCGGTTGTATCACATTTTCTGTCCGATCATGTCTTCGATGTCGATGATCATGTCGCTCACGCCGACAGCTTTATCAGCGAGTTTGCTCAAAATCATCCGCGTGGCGGCTACGTTTCCCTTAGTGATATGGAAATCGACAACACGGTTAGTGTTTCTGTGACCGATACGCAGCTGCCTCAGTCTCTCTTTGACGGGCAGTATTGCAGAGATGTGCAAGACAAAAGCGACCTGACTAACCTCTGGTCTCTGCATGGCTTCTCTACTGATCAAGCTGATGTCGTGGACTGTATGCATGCAGGGCTACCAGAGTTTGGTCCATGGACACAAGATGCAAGATTCATCCATGCAGGCCTCATCCAGCAATCAGAGGATCATCTGCAAAGCTCGACGTCACAACGCAGCCCGTGTCGTAACTTTTCCAGATCGACTGAATCTCAAAGACTGCGACAAATTGTTCGGCGCTGGCTTTCCGATCATGTATCTCGGCCTTATCCTTCACCAACAGAAAAGGAAAAGCTTGCTGAATCTGCCGGATGCCCTGTGGATCAACTCAGCATCTGTTTTAGAAACATGCGAGCCCGCGAGAAGCACTGTAAGCTCGTGGAATCATGTTTCTACTACCGCTCTGATAATGCACCTAGTATTTGACGGCAATCCCATTGTACGTAACGATAGGACTACGACCAACATAGGACTGGACGACGGCATATGGGTGGATTCAAGCTACTCGCAGTCGCGCTTCACGGATTTCGCTCTCGATGCGTCGCCTGGCAATGTTATCTCTCCGCCTACAATGGGGACGAGCGACAGCAATTCACGGCCTTCACCGTCCGACCTTGGCTATCCTACGCCAGATAACAGTCAAGGCGCTGAAACTCAGGTCTACCGATACGCTGAGGTAGGATCAGCGCATCAAATACCCTCCAATGTTTCCGCTCTGCGGGAAGCTGCCGTGCCAAAGCGCAAAGGCCGGAGGTATCACGCTCAGCGACCCGAACACGGCACGAGTGAGCACCTGCCTTTTGCCACACAGAGGAACCCGTCTTCTCCTAGTTCCCAGGAACCAGAGAACAGGTTTCCCTGCACTGTATGTTTCAAGGCCTTCAAGAACGCTTCCGAGTGGAAGAGACATGAGGCTAGTGTACACGGCTACAACGATCGCGAGTGGGTCTGCGTGTTGACGGACGCATTCAAGCTGCAGTCTGAATGTGTCTTCTGCTTGGAGCCAATGGACTCGATCCATCATCTTGACAAGCATGCAATCGATCCATGCTCGAACAAATGCACCGCCGAACGTAGTTTTCCTCGCAAGGATCTTCTCAAACAGCACGTCTTGCTTGCGCATCTCGCGGGTGCACCTCCGTCGATCAAAAAGACATTCGAGGTACCCACGGAATGGTCAAGAGGGTTGGATGTCTCGCCTGGTGGACCTGGCTCACGCTGGTGTGGGTTTTGCGGATGTATGCTTGAGACTACCGCGAAGAGGATGAATCATGTCGCACAACATTTTCGCAGAGGTCAGGCTATGACGGGCTGGGTTCGGATGTAAGGTGTCAGTCGTTTGGTCTTTTTCGGTGTTGTTGCTACTGTATCTTTTAGCGCACTTACGATTATCGTCATAACCTCGGGAAATTCACCAATTCTTTTGATCATCTTTGCCTAATGTTCTTTTCGGTAAGTGTTTCACGTAACTTTCATTGCAATCGCTTCTCGTCTCTCGTTGTATAGCTAAAACCCGCGTTCCCCGTTCTTCTTTTGCGCAGCTGCGCAGGCGGGCCACCAGCCGAGCGAGAGTGCGCGGCTTCGCGACGCGGGGCTAGCGCGGGGGACACGTGAGCGCGTCACCCAGCGCAGCCGGTACTCTCTGGTCTTCCTCGAAACTACATCGCGATGCAGTCATGCTGTTCGCGCTTCGACCCAACATCACACAGCGACATTCGTTCAGGATCGATGCACGTCTTGCCGCGACCCAGGCCTCTCGAGCCCTCACCATAACATGTCGGGGTAACTACTGCGTGGCCCCAGCCTCGTCAATAAGCCAACAAAAGCAGGCAAACCAATCAACCGCGAAGAATTGTTCAAATACACGAACGGACGTTTCTTAGCAAACGAGAAGAAAGCGGTTGATCGCAGATATGTAACGTTCGACGTAGATCAGCTTTGCGCCGTAGCTGCGACTACCGGTGCGCGGCACTCACCCGTCTGCGCAATCGACAAGATGGAAGGAGGGTTCAGCAAAGGACTCCTGTTACGCAAAGAGGATGGTAGCGAGATTGTTGCGAAAATACCCTTTCCTATTGCAGGGCCACCAAAGTATACCACAGCGTCGGAAGTGGCTGTTCTCAAATACCGTACGTCCTCGTTATTCTGGAAAGCCTGCGGGACATCGGCTCATCCTATCGCTGTCGGCAGTAAATAAATGCACTCAAGTCCCAGTACCGAAAGTTTTAGCATGGAACGCCGATCGGTCAAACCCGGTCGGTGCTGAGTACATCATAATGGAAATGGCCCCCGGGGTTCAGCTATTTAACGTATGGGATGATCTGAATGACTTGCACCAGTTATGCCTCCTACGCCAATTGGCCAGATTCGAGGGCGAAATGACGAAGATCCGCCTTCCAGCGAACGGAAGTCTTTACCTTTCTGAATCCATGGCAGAAAATGATGCACATGTCTCTTTGAATCGAGAGATGGATCCTTCTGGAGAGTTTTGTATAGGTCCATCGTGCGAGCGAGGATGGCATGTTCCCGACGAAAGTGCAAATCTATCCCGCCATTTCAACCGAGGACCATGTGAGTGCAATCCTGAACAGTCCATACCGTAGCTGATCTTACTTCGCAGGGCCAGATTTATCTTCTTTCGGAACCGCTCTAGCCGACCGAGAGCTTGCGATTCTGCGAAATCGCTCCTCCAACGCAACATCTGGTTCACCACGAGGAATTCTCGATGAGCAGATCGATGTTCTTAATATGACTAGAGAGGTCATGTCTCGACTGCACGAGCGCACACTCGTTAGCAAGGTCTCCAATCCAGTGCTATGGCACACTGACCTCCATATGGGTAACATCTACGTCTTAGGGCAAGATCCACCCCAAATAACGTCGATCATTGATTGGCAATCAATTGTAGTCTCGCCATTGTTCCTGCAGGCACGCTTTCCGGAATTCCTAACAGTTGACGAAGACTACGAATTAGGCACTATGGAGCTCCCACCGCCACCGCTTGATCTGGACAAGATGGACGCTGGCGACAAAAGATTAGCAGAGTACAAGTACGAGCAAGCAAAAGCAACAAAGACGTATGAAATGAACTGCGCAGCTCAGAACACAACGGCTTGGAAGGCGTTGAAATTACCGGCATTCCTCCGGGAGCTCTTCACACGATGTGCAGAAGCCTCGGAAGAGGGCGAGATACCACTTCGCGCATGTCTCATCGAGGTTGCCGCAGTATGGAACAGAATCAGCTTCAAAGGCGAATGCCCACTCAACTTTAGCGAAGACGACCTGCAAAAGCACGAGCAACAGTTCGAAATACAGCAACTACCATAAGGTACACGAATTTGCGAGAGGGATCATTGGCACGGATTTCGAAGGTTGGATCAATCCGCGACTGGACTTCTCTGCGAAACAACAGCAAAACCAAGAACTACTAGAAGAATTCGTGCGCAGGAGTAGTGAATTTGGCATGACGCCGGAGAAGATGAGGAGCATATGGCCGTACTTGGATCGGTCGTGATGAACCAAGAACGTAGAAGCGTCGCGTATGGGTGGGTTGGAGTCGATTACATACTGGCCTACAGAATCTTGGTACACAAAGCCCCGCAAGGCTTCAGTCTCACGTTTTGCGGATAGCTAAAAACCCTCTACGTTTGCGCATTCACAGACGCCGCTTTCTCATCACCAGTGACACCCGAGCCATGTGGTTGCTGCTCCGACATGTCCTGGGCGGACTTTCCCCGCGCGACTTTTGGAGTATACTCTGACGACTCAAGCTCATTTGCCGGCAGAGCCCCATACAGCTCGGCAGGCCCATGACCATCGGCGCATTTCGCATTAACCTCACGGTTTCTTGTGTCTCTCATCATTTCCCCAGTGCCAATTTGGTGTCGTGTCCATTTCTGTTCGTGGCCGGAAGTGTCCCAAGAATATGTGGGAGGGGCTATACACAGTCAGTAATGAGGCTCATTTGTTCCATGTTCTAGAAGCGTACGTGAGAATCCGTTTGACGGTGCGAGACCAGTAGTTGTTGTAGGCGACGCCAGTTCAGCTTTTGGTATCACCTGGCCGTTCGCTGCCTCTGCTTCGGCATTGACTTTCTTGTTGCGGCGGCGGCGGCGGCGGAATAGAAAGAAAACGACAGCAGCGATAACAATAAGACCAGCCAGTGAACCTCCAACGCCACCTCCGATGACCCCGCCAGAGACTCCATCGGAACTGGCGGAAGCTGTGGCTGTAGGCGTATCACTGGCGGGCGTAGATGTGCTGACAGCAGTTGAAAATGCCGTGGGCGCAGGAAAAGTGGACGAAAGCGCAACGTTCAAGTCATGGAAGTAGTAGTACTGGTCTGGTCGATCCCAGAACGCTGGCTCTAGCTGCCCCTCTGGACATGTCGAATTGTTCATGCACGCATCTTCGTTGCAACATCCATAGAATGTCGGAGCCATCGAACAAGTCCAGAAGGGTGTCGTACCACCACAGGATGCGCCGGGTGATATATTGTTGAGTCTGGGATCGCGACCCGCTGGTCGTAGAGCATCACCGAAGCAGGCATGCTGGCACGGATCCGACATGCAGCATCCGACAAACTTTGTGCCTGTCTCGCACACGTACCTGGGGGCTGTCAGTTCCTTACTTGGTGCCGCTATGATGTCACGGTTTGGTCGTTGAAGATCATGTTCGTTCTGATGTCGGATTGTTGACGCACCAAGTACCACCGGCTGGACAGAAGAAGTCTCCCGGCTCAGCTGCTGCGTAGCTGGGATCTGTCATGTCGAATTCCTGTTTTGGAGTGTGGGAGAACGACAAACTTGCAGCAACTCAAGGTCGCTGAAGATAATGTAACAAGGGATCGGACTGAGGCACACATGTGCGCCATGCAACTCTGAGGCATCTGGCATACTTAACAGCTCGCAATTGCAGGTCCAAGAAAGCCAAGATATTGCAACCCAGGATAAGACGCTGCTGTTGTGCCGCAGTTGCAACGGCTGTGGCAAAGAGTAGCCTGAATCGTCCAGTGAAGGGCCGCCCTGGCAGCCTGTCGTTTCCCCATAGCTGCAGAGTGGGCTGTCGTGCGAGCTGCTCGACTAGATGCGTTTGCACACGGCAATCCAGAGGCCGCTGGACAGGGGATAGCACCCATTATAAGCGTTTGGAACGTGCCGCGACCGACGAAGACGAAAGTCTGGGGCCTGTCAGACTGGACTCTGGTAGATCTGACCTCAGCATGATACATACGGTAATTCGTCCAAAGCGGACTGGTTGGCGGGAGCATACATTTTACCAGATAATCATACATGCGTTAAGCAAGGGCGCGGTCGACAGTTGGAGTACGACCGGTATGTCTGCTGCAAGGGGTGCCCTTCCAGATAACGAATGTTCCCGTTCCAAAAGTCCACATTCTCACGCGATTCGAAAGCATTGCTGGACTTCAGCTGCGCAAAGCGCACTGCTAATAGCTCATGAGCTCCAAGGCATAATGATGGGCGACGTCTGGAACCACAATTATACCGTTCTTTATTACATCGCGATGCCTTCTTGATGGTGGGAGATATTCCTTCTGTAGCAGCTCGTCCTTGGTTGTTTGAAATGGTATGAGGTAACATGTTTGTCGTAGAAATGCATCTACGTAGGCGTTGTATGAGGCACGCGACGCTCATCTCTGAGTGACATGCGATATCCCTACCTAGGTATGACTGAGTAGAGCAAGAGCAGTAACGGTTCTTGTATGAGAACAATGCATGTTGGCGGCCCTTGCGTGCCCTTCCTTCGCTGTTTTCTCGGAGATCTTTCCAGTACATCTCCCCGTGTATTAGTCGCCGAGGCCCATGCTGCCACAATGTATAGAGCGCTTCGGTTCATGTAATTGCGGACGGCATTTCTCATTCACTCTTACTATCTGTGGACTTTGTGAGTGTTGATTTAGATGGTTTAAGAGTGGGCGTACTGAATCTGCCGTGGCGCGGTAATTCCTCGGGTAAACTAGGCAAGAAGGCTGCCCCGCACCGGCACCTCGTGCAGCGTAGCGTACCTTCTCTTGTCTTTTCCTAGACTGCGCATTACGGAGTACCTAGAAAACGTCGCCGCACTAACGTCAATTATCTGATGCTTGTTCCTTCGCTGCCAAAGCTTCGTACAATAAAATCGACATTATCTATGGTGCTGCATTGAGCAAATAGAGGAACAGCTGACCTTTTCTGATGCAAGCTATCATAAGCCGCTCCAAGAATGGCAGTGTTAAAAGAAGAGATGCATCATGTAAGTGAAAATTTGTAATGTGTATTGTATTACTCATGTAAGTTACTAGCCTATCGTTGCGATTCAAGCAGCCGCAATGCCCGAGCTTTACAGTTCGATGCCTTCCAGTCCACAGATCCATGTGCAATATCTGGCCCCAGGTCAAGAACTCATCACTCCAGAACAATTCCACGCATCAAAACCAGAGAGTATCGGAAGTATGCTGGCGAAAATGTCACCAACGATGGTAGTAAAATGGGGGAACCATGCTTCTCTTATCGAAGCTAAGAACATGCTGTATGTGGCTGAAAGGACATCAATTCCCGTCCCAAAACTATATGCGGCATACGCATACGGACCGTTAGATCGAGACCTCGATGACTATGGGAGTGTCTACGATACATATATATTCATGGAGTTCATCGAAGGCGAAGATCTAAGAAAGTCATGGGGCAAGTACAGCGCTGCTGAGAAGCAAACAATCTCGACGGATCTCAAGAAGCACATGACTGAGCTTCGATCTCTTCCCCCAGCCAACTACATTGGATCAGTGGACGAAGGACCAGTCACTGATCTTATGTTAGAATGGTCAACATCTGCCCGAGGTCAGTCATCGCACGCATGTGAGAGAATGGATGGCGAGTTTCTGACCAGATACCTAGGTCCGTTTAAAAGTCTAGAGGAATTTAATGCTACAATCGTAGAAACCTTCATTGCCAGATCCAAAACCCAGGCCGGCCCGTACATTCGTGGCATGGTCGATACACACACGCATGGAATTGTCTTTACTCATGGAGATCTCAGACCCGACAACATCATTGTCAAAGATGGTCTCGTAGCAGCAATCATTGACTGGGAGCTGTCAGGATGGTACCCGGAATATTGGGAGTTTGCCAAGGCATTTTATATCGAAGCCTTTGCTGATGACTGGGGTTCACATTTACTTGGGGTGCTCACACCTTATTATTGTGAGCAGTTGATACATGCCAGATTGATGGAAGTACTATGGTAGCTGATGATATACCTACCGTGAAAGATAGAAAGACTTAGAGTAAATCCAATGCGATCCATAATCGCCTGGTTGAGGGCGGGTGGCACAATTTCGGTTCATCTTGGGGTAACAGTGCTTCTCCTACCACTCATCTCTTCCAACTTGCGCAACATACGTGTCTAAGCATCATGTAGGAGTTCGTCTTCTACAGTGAATCATGTACAGTCATTTCGCTATGGCGGTTGATTAGACACGCAGATGGAACTCGGATCAGCAATCCGCGGTGCTAGGAGCCGGTGGTGTGAATGCATCGTAGCGGGCGACCTTCGCGATCTGGGTGCCATCGTGGTCATGCGTATTCCTATTGGCGGCGCCTGAAAGCATGAAGCAATCAGTGATGTCGAAGTTAACGGTCGATACGATACGTGTTTCATCTCTTCCTGTATTGCTTCCAAACTCCAAGAACTGCAACGACTAGAGCAGACACACTAATCCCGATGCCAACTTTTTCCGCTGTCTTCAGTCCCTCTTTTGGCGTATCTGAAGTCGGTGCAGTAGTCGCTGTGGCTATCTGAGGAGATTGGCTTGCTGTTGGTGTACGGGTCGGTGTGGAGATTCGTGTTTCCAACGATGTTGGAATCGGACTGCTGTGTGGCGCGTATGACGACGATGTCGTGGTGTCCTCGATCTCCGCTGAGTCTGGCTGCAGGATCTTCGTCCCGTATACGTTCAGATATATCCCAGAATAGTCACTACAACACGTAGTGTTCCCTTCGCCGCAGCAAAAACTGCCATCCCCACAGCGCGAAACATGCGTGTATCCTGATTGACGACCTAGCATTTACAGTCAAGGGTCCGTCGCAGTAGGGTTGGAAGACGGTATGTACCGCAAGCGTCCCATAACGGACTGCAACTACTGCCCGGCTCATCCCAGTCTTGATAAGTGCATCCGATCACGAAGTACTGCCCTGTCCAGTAGTTGCTGTAACAGGCGCCTTGTATGCACACGTCGTCTGCGTAGCCGTCGTTTCGGTTTAGGTAACAACACATGTTTGATCCGGGACAGGGCTGTGAACTGGTGTCTAGGTCTCCATCGCCTGTGTAGCAACTGCTGGTGGTACCGAAGGCGCGAGCGAACAGGAGCGCGAAAGCGACGAAGGCCAAAAGTGGCGAGACGCTCTGCGACGCCATGCCGTCTACAAGAGAGATGGAAGAAAGGGGGCGGATGAAGAACGGCATATGTCGTGACTGTTGAGGAGTAACAAGTCATATAGATAGCACGAAGATTCGTGTTACCCATACTTTGCGCGTGTGTATGTACATGACTACTCGCGCGCTGCGCCTCGACGGCCTGTGAGAACCTTCTGGACACGTCGGCACATGCATCTTCCTAGTTACCGATAACGGAGCCAACTTCGAGGCTGAGCTGCGTCGCGTTGAGTTGGTGTGGCTGTTGGACGTGTTGTTGTGCATGTGTGGTGGCTTGCGCTGATCCGAGAGAGGCAGTCGCGAAATTTCGGTGAGCATGGGCGTAACGCTCTTCTTTGCGCGTGCAGACATCAACACATCTTCAACCCTCACCTTACCGTCGGTTGCTATTTATCTCGATCTATCATTCCTTATCGCGATGCGAGATGTCGTACCTGCTGAAGGTGATCCTTTTTTTTTTGTTCAAGATGGGAAGGAAAGTATTGAGGGCGCTGCGCCCGTCGGCAAAGCGGGAAGCTGATCACATGGAGGACCTCACACAGCCACCACGCCCGCTCGAAAACATACATTGTCGTCGTCAGAATCATACCTAGGTAGCCTAAATGTGGCTTCACATTCGCGCAAGCAGATTTGTACTACTTGTCAGGTTCTTGGTTGGTAAAGCTTGTGATTGTATGCGAAGGGAAGGCCATTCATATACGTAAGAAACCCAACATGGGTTAGAGGGAGAACCATGGGGAGAATTTTGAACACCTGGCAAAAACCTCTACGCTTGAAGCTGGGACAGCACTGACCGTGAACTGTCGTGTCTGAAGTATCGAGACCCATTTCCAGTATATCTGTCTACCCTACGAACAATCGGCCCAATCACTGAAACAAAACCTTCATATTCTGCGTACCTAATTTCTTCTGGCCATGATACACCACGAACTCAACAGCTGCACCCGATGGTGTCATCTCGACCATATAGTCGAATTTCTTCATGACCTCGCCTTTCGAATTGACGAAGTCGTCCCACTCCGAGAAGGGTTTGTCGATTGTGCAGTTCAACGCACACAGTGGAACGACGCTCGATGTACGCCGAGTTGGCGCATCTCTGTCGTGACATTGGAAGAATTCGATGGTTAAGTCGCGTCCGGGATCTGTTCTATGCAGTTTGTAGAATTTTGATTGAACTGGGTCCTTCTTGGACACGTTTTCGCCCTACATTAGATCAGTCACGTTCTCGGTCAAGAAGAAGGCCACAGTGAAACACACCCTTTTGAGATACCATCTCATCTGGTTGTCGGCTTTCCATTCGAGCTCTTCCGAAGACCATACTTTGTCCTCTTGAAGATGCTCGGTCGCATCAAATGTGGATCTGAACACGCTCCCGAAGCTAGCTCTCGAAACCGTCGACGAGATCATGATGGGGGTTTCCAGTATATCGCCGCTTGGAGTGGTGAGATCGCCTTTGCAGACCCCATCGAGGAAGCCCTTGAAGACCGCGCCGCGACAAATAGCGGTTCGACTGGCATGAGTGTTAACAAAGTCCCGCGTTCAGGATCAAATCGGGTGAAAATCACGTACGGCCTCATCCCACCGGATTGCAATACGCTCATTCCTGCCTTTGCATGCTTGGCCTGCAGATGATCATACAAGTATGGACTTGCGCCCAGACCCCCAACAAGTATGATCCCCTGATTTCATTAGCTGGCCGTTTTCAGAATGCTTTTGGTCGCTCACCGTCATCTTCAGACCCTTCTGTGCTGCTTTACCAATTTGCTCGTCTACAAGACGATCGATACCAGTGAACGAGGAGACAAATGCCTGCTGTATGTGTGAACTACACGGGCGTGGTCAGTCTTCTTATTATCCATATAACCTGATGTGCGGTACCAACCTTTTGAAATGAATGCGTCCTCTCTTGATGAATGGCTCTCGGCTGTCGTCATCCAGACTGGTCTTCCCAAAGGCTTCAGCTGGGATTCCGACGATGTATTCCTTTCCATCGTTGCCTTGCTTGAATTGAGGCTTGATGGCATGTTCCCATTCGCCTTTCAAAACCTCTTTGATGCCTGCTTTGCTCAAACGATCCCATCTTCTACCGAGCCGGGCTTTGCACATGGCTTCAAACCCTTCATCGATAAAGATACCTCCGTAAAGGCCACCTGCATACATGTTAGTGACATGTTGAATCACTTCTGGTGTGTCTCCTTGCGTACCTGTGCCCTCGACTGCCTCACCCATCTTGACTGGATTGGTCTGATTGACCTCATAACTTATTAGGTCCTTCTTTCATTAGATGTATTAATCTAGTAGATCTCAGACGTTAATATACGTACCACAGTGCCGCCTCCGGCATCACATATCATATATACATCGCCTTGCTTTGTCTTGCGACCTGGTTCAGACAGTGTTGATAAAGCAGCGGCCTCAGGCTCCGGCGCAAAGCTCAGTGTTGTTTCTCCGGCAAGTCGTCGCCTGAGTATACCAGATTTCTTTACGGCCTCTACCATACTCTGTCTAGCATATCCCTTCCAGATTGCGGGTATTGTGATGACCACGTGAAATCTCAGAGCGTCCACTACCGAGACTCCGCGAGACTTTACGATCTGCTGAAGGCTGTATGTGTATAGTGCTCGGAGATAATCGGCGATGAGTTCAGTCGCCATCTTGTTGTTTTCTTTCAGCATCTTGCGGCCGCGGAGAACGAATTCAGAGGAGCGCAACTCTTCAGCTAAATCTTCGTCTCTCAGCAAGAGGAGCTTGAACCAACGGATGGGATCGCCGTCGACCGGGATTTCGTAGCCCCACATCATCTCGCCATCTTCGTAAAACAACTCGGTCGGTACTTTACCCTCTTCTCTGCCCGTACCAGGCCAGGTAGTAATGAGGTTGACCTGATCACTCTCGAAGTCGGCGAAGGTAGCCCAGGCAACACCAGAGTAACTGCATAAACGATTTTGTCAGTCGTGAAGCGTAGTAAGGGCAGATACAGGCTTACGTTGTGCCAAAGTCAATACCGATGACCAAGATGTCATCATCATCCTCGTCTGCAGTAATCCTCATCATCTTGCGAAAGTCTTCTTGAAACGACATTGTGAGTAAACGAGTAACAAACGCCTGATAGTTTTGCGGTGATAGACAAGGGGAATGAGAGCAACAAGAAAAGAGCTAGAATCTCGAGCTTTGGGTGGGATTGAGGAGGAGCCTTATTAGGAAATTCCAGATCCCGTGCGGCAGACTCACATTAGCATCAGGCTGAAGCAGGATGATGATGGCGGGCGGTAATGCCGGCGGAGTATGCGCAAGATCGGGAAGCAATCCTGGGATTTAAATGTATTGAAACCGCTATCAAATGATAGAGTCTCAGCTTCATCAGAGGTTTCTCATAAGTAAGCCGCTTAGAATGACTCCATGTCTCATGAATGATACCTGTTCACCAGCAAGTTAGACAGCCTCGGCCCAGTACCACCTTGGACAACGGGTATTACCGTCCTCCCTATACTATTCGCAAGCTATGGCATCACTCACACGATGACTTCGAAAGCTCTTGGGACAAGGCTGTGTTGAACCTTTGTGCTGAGATTTTGTGCTGAGCCTTTGTGCTACTGAATAGGGGTGTAATGTGATCTGTTCTCAACCTCGCGTTCCGAGTGGGGGTTGGAACGTTTAAGGTAACACTATAGCATGATTGAACTTGGCTGGGGAACAAGTCACTCTGCTTTCAGATTCCAAATTGGTCCGCTTGCTAGCCATAGCGCTTAGATACATGGCGTTGAGACGCAAAGGCGTAGTGATGGGTGAACGCCTGAAATCTTGGCGCCGGGTTTAGCCTAGCGTTGTATTGAGAAGCTGCACGTAGCCAAATCTGCACGGGGCTACGTGAATGATTTGCTCCCTGATCACTCATGCTGGCTGGAGCTGCATGGTATCTCCCGTCTCTTCCCCGACCGGTGCCGAGTTGCATTAATCCTTTTCGTGGGGACGGCAAAGCGAAACGATGAGTGTTGGTGGTTCCTCGTCCCCAAGCCCGACATAGCGTAGGATTGTCGCAGGCAGGAGCCTCTTCCTGCACGCTGAGTTTCGCGCATCCACGAAGTTGCTCCATTCTGTCGCATACCATCCTGCACGCATTTTCTTGGGTGGCAATCTAAACCTGCTCATCCACGTCGTTATCATCTTATAGAGTAGTCAGTGCCGAGACGTACAGCTATGACAACTTACGACCCTCGAAAAGGCGAGAGATCTACTCAGATGCGTACAGCAAGACAAGATGTTGACATGGTTGACGCACCGCCAAGAGAGTCACCTTGGCCCCCACGGCTTCGACCGCGAAAACTTGAATACAGACATGGAAGCGTAGAGACAACACAGGATGTTTGTAAGAACGACAACCATGTTCAAACTATGGAGATGTACGACCACAGCCATACGTCCCACGCTACATGCGAAACCACACAAATTTGGCAGTCTGTGCATACAAGGCAGGATCCGCACGCGTCGGTAATCTCGGCAAACGGCACACCGAATCGATTCGCGCGAGACCATGGAGACGACGACGATCATCACAGGTACAAACGTGAGCAAGATCGCACAAGGAATGTGGAAGACAGGTCGATAGCCTTGCAAGAGTCGCATCAATTGTTTGAGATCCATCCGGCGGCTGCGACTGAATGGAGGGCAAAGGCAGAGAAAGATTTCGCTGAAAGGAATTCTCATCTAGATGCTCATACACAGAGCACCAGTCAGATACACAAGTTGTTGGAGGATGAGCTGCAAAATAAAGCGAAAGACTTGGCAAGCGTCCTTGAGCAAACGAAGCTCAAGGAAAAGCAGCTGGACAACGAGAGAGAGCAGTGGATAGCCGAAAAGCAGCAGCAAGAGTCTGATAGACAACAGTGGGAGTTTGAAAGGCAAGAGTGGAAGTCAAAAGAGAATCAGTACGCCGCCGATATAAGAGACTTGACGTTTCAATGGAAGAAAGCGGCAAAACAGCTCAATGGGCTGATAGCCCAAGGTCAAGGCCATCACCAAGTCACTGACAATTACCTCTGTGGTTTGATCACACAGCTGAGGTACAAGATCCGAGATTTCGGTATCCAGTACTTCTCCGAGAAGCTTCCCAAGCGCCCCAAGTTCGAACAAAATTGGGTATGGAAAGAGCACATGGCGTCTACTACGAGGGATGAAAGCTATGCGGATTTTGTCAACTATCCAGAAACCCGTCCCAGCGTCATACAAGCCTTCCTATGGAGAGTGATCGTTCACGAGGTCTTTTCCAAGTTCAGATGGGCTGGACCAGCGTCATCCCCGATCACGAACCTTTTCAGAGAATTGGAATCGTGCCTTCATGGAGGAGGATCATCTCCTGCTGATGCCGAGGCCACGAAGAAATTGCACACCTGGAGGGCCACTACTGTCAGTCTTTTGTTGGATTCCATGGGCCAGCTGAAGCGGCGTCAAGCCGATAACGAGCTCCAGAGGTGGCAGGTCGAGCTTCACAATGACATGCACAGAAACCTCCGTCTTCTAAAGCCAAAGGATCAGAAAGGTTGTAAACAGGACTTCCTCGACATCATTGACGGGGCAGTCAAGATCGATGAGGAGATCAGCAGGCAGGTTTCCCGGGTGGAATGGACATTCGGTTTTGGGAACGGTATGCAGACTCTCGATCTTGCAACCATGGAGCTCAGAAAAGGGGAACCATTCATTCCAAACTCGGAAGTGACGTTAGTGATCTCTCCGGGGGTGATCAAGCAAGGCAAGTCGACTGGCGAGGGCTTTGAATCAAGCGTATGTTTGTTGAAGATGGAGGTCTCATGTGAGAAATCTGTATCTCGCCTGTAATCTCACGGTATATTTAGACAGACGGCATTCACCTGGCTTTTTGTCGTTTCGGCTTTCCTCGAGAGCGGGTAGTGGAGGAGTCGTTGACGTCATTGATGCTATTCAATCCGCGTGTAAAGGGAGAACGTGGAAATTCGGAATCACCTAGCGCGCTGTCTCCCGACACCTGTACGGAATATCTCATGCGATAGAAAGGGATAAAAAGCAGATGCGAAGGCTGATGATGATGTTCCTCTTTGCGCTGTAGACAGGTGCGTTTATAGCACCTGAGCACTAACAGTACGGCCTAGACCCGATGAGATTACGCCAAACTTCGGCGAACCCCTCGTGTATCCACATGCTTGGCACAAGACTGTCCAGTTGCCACCCAACACATAAATCATGCGAGGCTCCTCACACTCATACCTATCACAAAACTCATACTATCCCATTTGGATAGGTGTTGATGAAAGCTGGTCTTGTTTAACAGCATCGAGATCTTCGTCCAAGTTCTCATCCATCTCTCGTACCACGGGCGAGCTAGAGCCTCACCGGCCATGTAACTGTGCATGTAAGCTTCACCAACAACAGCGAACATGCTGTTGCTTGGTCGAAATACGATCGTGACATTACAGTCAGAGATGATGAAGACCATGTCGCGAGACTGAGCATCTACTGGACAGATCCCAATGTGCCCATTCTTCGTCACGAAAAGCCGCCGTTGCTGCATGATGTTTCTCATGATCGGTGCCCACCCATCGCATCATACATTGCCGCCACCAGTAAGCGTCATGAGTAGGAGCGAACCATCTCGGGTATGAGGCGGTTGCTCTCTTTCCACCGACACTTTCCGTCGTGCCTTGGTAGATACGAACTCTGATTGTAGGATAAAGTCGAACGCTCGATTGATAAATTCATCATCACGTATCGCAACAATGTCTACATACCAAACCTCCGCGAGACTGTCGAGCTTCCTGCTCAACACAGTAAGCACCCTCGAACCCTCGCTGAAAGAAGCAAACGCCTCTGAATTGCCAGCTGCACGGTAACCGTGTCCTAGGAGCACGAACAGATCTGTAGATTCTCCGTGGGCCAACTTCATCAGGAGATGCCGAATGAAAAGCAATACTGGTTCTTTTGCGTTAGCCTCGCGTCGCCAATCCGGTACCCATGATGGCAAACCATCATCGCCGTGGATGCCGCTTGCCGTCAATAAAATGTCCATCCTACCCTCTCTTCCCATGATATCACGCGCAGTCTCCTTATACACCTGCTCCATCGGCTTGCGGTAATCAGGCGCCATGGAGACACCTTCGGCGTCGCCAACTAGACCCAGCACAACGAATACCTTATCTCTTGGATCCGTAGACGCTCGATCCCAGGTATTCCAGAGCAGCAACAAAAGCGAGCTACCATTGACTCTGGCCTTGGTTAGGTGGATCGCCAAAGTATACCGTCGTCGTAATGTGTCCCACTGCAACTGTCTTTTCATGCCTTTCACACTTTCGCCCATCTCATCCCATGCTTCAGTGTAATCCATGGCCTTCTGAAAAGTTTTCCATTTGATCATCGTAGAACCACATTGAAGTGCTGCATCTGAGGCACACCATACTTCCTGTACTATCCAGGTCCGTCCCCACCAAGGGCGAGCAAGTAGTTCATTTAGACTCTTCCAATGGGGCTCCCGGGCATTCTGGTAGTACTGGTCATAAGGTCTAACGAGTGTGTAATAGAGTCTGGGAAAGCCCGATACCGCAAAGTCGTTGTTCATGGCTTCTTCTATGGCTCTCGCCTCTTGTTGCTCGCGCCGTTTGGCTTCGTGCGGGTCTAGTCCAGGTTCTTCGATGCGAAAGAAAGTCTGTCCCAGTAATTTGTAAAGTTCCATAAGATGGCTTTTCAGTTTCTTCAAGTAGTTTGGGCTGTCAGCTCGATTCTGACTACTACACAAAGCTCCAGCAGAATGTAGAGGACGCGGCCTCTCGTTAGTTTCGAGTTCTAGGGAGAGCACATGTAAGGAGAGGAGTTTCTCATCACTAGACATCGCTTTATCGTGATGATCAAGATCTGCCTGGCCATCTTGGAAATCTAGTTGATCATCATGATCACGTGGAGGGGAAGGGAGTCTTGCTGGTGACCGTCAGTCTTTAGGGCCCAGCTCTGAGCTCTTCTCGCTAGCTACCCTGCAGCCGTCCCGCCATCTTTTCCGATTACGGTTCTTCTTTGTCTTGGCCATCATCTTCAAAAATTCCATGGCCTTTTCGTTCGACGCAGTCGCTGGCCCAATCCACACAATCACGCGCATCGCATTCTGGTAAATCTTTCTCATGATAGCGACTTGACTATTGCGCTCAGCGATGTCTCTTTGGTTGACACAAATAGCGTCTATCCAAATCTTGCGCTCTTGTGACCTATGGCGAAGGTGTTCGAGCGCGACATGAAGAGTGGCAGTAACCGGTAGCGAAGAAGCGTTGATCGTGACGGGCCGCTTATGGTCATCTGTTCCCCAGGCATACGACAGGCACTCGTATTTGGGATGCAAGTTGATGTCGGCATGCTCGATACCAAGTTTGATTGTCAATCCGCAGTCTCCAGGAAGGATGGTGATGAGACGGATATGATCGGGCGCAGGCAGGCTCTCGTATTGATAGGATGGAATGTCCATAGCTACACCATGGCATTACCAAACTGGTAGATTCGCGACTCCAGCTATAGTATGAGCTATTGCGATACTGCCAAGCTCAGCTAAGAGACCGACAGGTAGGCTTCAGTTGTGCTAACAAAGCAGTCTATCAAGACTATTCGCATACCCGTTCAGGATATCTTGTGCAACACGCACTCGATGCGAAAGATTATGAGGCTGAGGGGCCCTTGGTGTTGTGGACAGGAGAATGTCTTAGGAGCCATACCCAGTCGAGTTAGGATGCGGGGAGATTTAGGGACAGCTGTCAAGGCCAAATTGCTCTCCACATTGAAACATCGAAACATCAAGGCGAGGAACCGAGGCTAAAAGCGACTCCGGGACACCGAGCGCGTTAACGGCGATGTTGTGGTCACTGTATGCGTATTGCGAGGCTCTGCATGGCGCGTCGCAATATCGACTCTAACCGCAGACGTGATCATGTCGCGCGCGTTCGAAGTCGCGTCGTCGGATGACGACAAGGCGCACAAACCTCGCTCCACTCCGCCGCCATCTTAGCCGTAGTTCTGCCTACGGAGAATTCGCGTCCACGAGCTCTGTCGCAGATTAATCAGAATCGGCACGCGCTAATCTCTCGGCTTCATCAAATCGACGGAGAAACTGACGCCATGTGTGCCATTTTGAGGGTGCACAAGCACGCATGGACTAGATCTGGGGTACGATGAAGCTGGGCGTTTTACATCAAAAGGACGTCCTACCTCCGATGGTATCGCTTGTGCGTTATTGACAGGACCTCGATATCTGATCACGATGCTGTCAAACATGATGACGCGATTGGCTCTGCCATTGGCCATTCTCTCATTCTGTAAGGCTCTTACACGTATCGTACACATGCACACGTGACTAACGAGGTGCAGTCCTCTCCTTCGTCAATGGTCTTCCCCACGATGCGCTCGTCGCACGCCAGTCGAAAAACCTCCGCATTCTGCCGCTAGGCGACTCCATCACCTGGGGTTACATCAACGGCGGCGGTTCAAACGGGTACCGTGAGCGGCTGCTGGCCGACCTCAAGTCTGGCGGCTACACCGTTGACTTCGTCGGCACGCAGAAGTCCGGAACAATGGCCGACAAAGACAACCAAGGTTTCCCTGGCTACACCATCTCCCAGATCCGCGGCGTCGCTGCCGGTGGTCTTGCACTGAAGCCCAACGTCGTCTTGCTCCATGCCGGTACCAACGATCTGAACAGAGGAAACCCTTCCTCAGAGCCAGATGCTGATGCGCCGAGACGACTTGGGCTTTTGCTTGATGACGTCCTGAAGGCAGTCCCCAACGCAGTCGTCATTGTGGCTAAGATCATCCCATCGAAGCAATCGGGTCTCAACGCCAACATCAAGACTTTCAACAATGCGTTGCCTGCTATTGTCGCCGCCAGGGTTAGCAAGGGATCGAAGGTTTCCATCGTCGATATGAACGTCCTCAGCACGTCGAGCGAGTTGAGTGATAATCTGCACCCGTGAGTATTGATCCGTTTCTCTGGAGGTCGCTCAGCTGACTGATCTTATAGGAATGTCGCTGGATATGCGCGCATGGGTGACATCTGGAATGCTGGCATCAAGGCTGTTGCCGGTTCGATTCCCGCGCCTGCTTAGTCGTTCCTACTCAAGGACTTGTGGGGCTCAGGCGCCAACACGTAGTAGCGTGGTAGAGTAGGACACAACAATAAATTCATGCCACATGCCACGACTCCGATCTTTCCGAAAAAGCCACATCCGTTCCCATGTTCTTGAATGCACGTTCCCTAGCTTCTCCACGAGGAGACGTCGATCCCCGTGCTCCGGTACCACATGTCGCGCGAAGAACGTGGTCGTGTTGGTGAAGTAATCTCAAGCCTTTAGCCGAATGCGGGATCAGCATAGTAGTTCCGCAACTGCCGACATTGCCTCGATGCCACGAGGTCGTACACATTAGGTGAAGTTGTGGTGACCCTAATATGCGTTTTCTGGTACGGACGGGGTCGGCAGTTGCATGTCGAATGTGGAAGTCGAGATGGATGGCGAACGTTTGCGTGTGGGTCGCATTGGGTACGTATGAAAGTTTCGTAGAGCATTCTTTCGAGTACTTTATCTTCCAGTGCGTCTTCTTTGCATCCTTCTGTACTTCATCATCACCTACGCATCCTGCTGTAAAGAGACATTACGAATCGTCATGCTGTTCCCCACTCTTCTCCTCGCTGCCGTCGCGCAGGCTGCGCCTCAATTCGGTGGCTCTCAGGGCTTCACCATGTTGCGTTTTGGGTGCGCTCAGAATGTCATCGACCGTATCGATCCTCTTGTCAACCCCGGCCAAGCACCCTCGCCGCACATGCATCAGGTAGTTGGCGGAAATGCATTCAACATTACGATGCAGTCGACAGACATTTCCAAGCTTGCGACATGCACTACTTGTGGGTACTCGGAGGATGTAAGTCAAGATGATGAAGGGGGTACGATCGAGGCTGACGGGTTGGGTGACAGCTTTCCAACTACTGGACTGCGAACGTTTACTTCAAGGCACGCAACGGAACATACAAGCGCGTACCTCAAATTCCCAACAGGTACTTCTTCCTGTCAGAAGTCCGAAGTTCTTCGTACTGACTTGAATCAGAGATCTCTTCAACGACAAGTACACCGGAAAGACTACTGGAGGCTTCGTCGTCTACTACGTCTCTGGCGGGAAGGGCCAAGTCACCGCCTTCAAGCCCGTAAGCCTTCATCCCTGTGCATGCAAATTCGACCTCTAACACAGCATACAGGGTTTCCGCATGCTCACTGGTGATGCCACCAACCGCGTCTCAAAGGGTATGAAGACTCAGACTTGCTTCCGATGCTACAACGCGCCCAACTTCGGTGGCGACAATGCCGCGCCTTGCCAGGATGCCAAGTGAGCATGCACGTCTCCTTGTACTTATGACTAGGTATACTAACGCTCAAAGACTTGACACTGAAGGCTTTCCTACGACACCTTGCCCGGGTGGTATTCGTAGCAACGTTCTCTACCCAACGTAAGTGACCCTTCGCGCGATGACTCCGCATCAAGCTGACTTCGCAACAGATGCTGGGACGGAAAGAACCTCGACTCGCCTGACCACAAGTCACATGTCGCATACCCCACCAACGGCCCGGCTATGTTCTCTGGTACCGGAACCGGTGGCAACTGCCCATCGACTCATCCCGTGAAGATCCCACAGGTCATGCTCGAGGTCAGTCCCAAGACATCCATCATTGTTCATCGCGACCAAGCTAATGTGATTGCAGGTCGTCTGGGACACCAGCAAGTTCAACAACAAAGCCGAATGGCCTGCCGATGGCTCACAGCCGTTTGTCCTTTCCACCGGTGACAACACTGGGTATGGACAGCATGGAGACTACGTCTTCGGCTGGAAGGATGACTCGCTGCAGAAGGCTATGGATGATGCCAAGGGCTGCATGGGTGCCAACTGCGGTAGCTTGAAGACGCAGCAGCCTGCTGATGGGAACAAGTGTCTTGTGCCCAACCGCGTAAAGGAGGAGCGCGATGGCTGGTTGGCGGCGCTTCCGGGTATGGAGGGTATGCCGATGTTGTAGTCAAGCTTAACCTCACATCAAATTATGAACATAGTCAACTCCTTGCTTGTATCTGCGATGTTAACACGATAAAGACTCCTGGCAAATAGATCCTTCTTTTTGAACGCGCTGAGTATACGCTGGCAGTCATCCCCTGGACCTAAAACAGGGCTATCGCGGTTGTCTAGACTCAGTTTGCATTCCAATACGCTGTCTGACACCTTGAACAGTGAATCTGCCGACCAGGATCATTTTGGAGGATCATGTCGGTGACCCTGGAAGCCGAAGGCCTCGATGTAGAGTCAGTCCGCATCATCTCCTGAATGGCATCGTTGATCCCCCAATCGTCCTCCAAATCGAAAGATGGCAGCGATAAACGACCTGGAAAAGACCGCACAATCTCTTGGAAATTCCCTTCGTAAATCTGGTCATAGGAGGCATCATTCTCCAGCGCCAGAACCATCTCGATGAACACACACCCAAGAGAAAATACATCCGATTTGGTATTCCTTCTCCCCCACTCGGCCACTTCCGGTGCGCAGTATCTCCTAGTGATACCTTGTGGATTACCAGTGGTCGTGCTTCGCCCGGTAACCCCGAAATCGTACGAGAGGCCGAAGTCGGTATACATGACCTTTCCCTTGTGGATCAATATGTTTTGCGGCTTGATATCTTTGTGTCTGACAGTTTGACGATGAATGAAATCCAGAGCGGAGGCTAAACAGCCGAATGATCTACGCAGAACGCGATTCTGACGTGCATTCTCCTTGCTGATGTCCTCGCCGAGCGAGTGGAAGCCTTGGTCGCGATAGTTCTGCAAATAATTTGCCAGATCTCCACCATCCGCAGCCGGGTCGAGGATCATAGTGAGCTCTCTCCCCTCGATACGAGTTGAGTGTACCCTAACAATGTGATGATGGGGCAAGCGTTGCATGATCCGAATTTCGTTGAGAAGCTTTCGTTTCGCGTCCTCAACATTACGAGAATAGACGTTTCTGATAATCTTTCGTGCAAACACCGAGCCCGTGACGAGATCGAGGACTTGCTCCACGCTTGCGCTTCCTCCATGGCCAAGCATACGCATGTGTTGATATGTTGGTTCATTGTTGCTTTGGTCCTCATTTTGGATGGATTCAGCTGTGACGTATGAGGCCGGGATCTGCACGTTGAGGAAATTCGCCGGTCTGGCGTTTTCCTCAGCTGCTAGCTGCAGCTGACTGGGAATGCTGGTATGCTTATCGTCATCGAGTTTAGTGAGGATGCCACTACTAGGTCTGTATTTTCCCGGCACTCTGGGAACATGACTCAGGTCAATCGTTCCAACTCGAGGATCTGGGTCAAAATAGTGCTCAGAGATTTGCGGGTATTCGTGATCAATCGAAGAGGGTCCAGATACGTTGGGTCGATCATCGGCGTTTGAAGGATAAACATCTCGGAGACGCCTTGGGGGATTCATCTTCGATACTACTCGATTATCGTAGGCCTGCGACGAGTGCTCGAGGTTCATTTGGCCAAGTTGTCGCTTGGCAGCGGGCGTGCTTCGAATACCGTGCAGGCTGCCCTGTTCCCTTTCGAGGTCCATCTTCGCAGAGCAGGAGGATGTATACGCAAAGGTAGGCCGGAAGATGGCGACGAGAGAAGTGGCCTGTCGCAGTAAAGATTGAGAGAGGAGGCTGAGTCTGACCGCCGTGCCAGGTCATGTCATCAGTGCCATCATGCATGAGTGATTGGCCTGCGTCCGATGGGCGCTGCTTCGCCCCCTACAGCCTGACAGGCCCCAAGGTGAGTACAAAATGTGGCGTACAGCATGTTGAAAGACATGAATATAGTGATAAACGCAATGGAGAGTGTATCTTATATTTGCAGAGATGAAGACGAGCAGAATGCACGCGTAGAAGTTGCCGTGTGCGACGTAGGGACGCGACGAACTCGCGTGCGTGTGTTCGGAGGTGCCCAGGCTTTTAACTAGATTCGGTCTAGCCCCAACGCACCCGACTCGCAGCTCTCAAGTGCTGGAACACTTCGACAGAGTAGACCTGAAATTGCTATACACCAATAGCATCATGTTGCAGTCTTGAATTTTCTACTGGCATTACGCGAGTGGGAATGAATTGCCAGCAAGTCATACACTCAGGCCAAATGTAATGCGGGTTTCCGAAGAGAACATCTAATTAACATACATATCTACCGAAAACTAATACTAACGCTCGACCAAAGCATCGCTCTAAGGGGTATCGACGACAAACTCTATGCAGATAACAAACTTCTCATACTTTTCACCCTCTCCACACACACCAACACGCCATCGCCTCTACCTCCTAAAGCTCCATCCCCTCCTCCTCGCCCCAATATCAGTCTGCGACCTCTCAAGCGTCGGCATAGCCGTAGTCGTAGGATCAGACCTCGTCAGCGTCGTTCTCGCACGACTCCACGCCCTGCCTCTCATACTCTCACCACCGTCAGCCAACTCCCTCTCTCTTTGCCTCCTCTGCTGTTCTTCCGCACTTTGTTGTTTCCATCCGCCTTCGGTTCTATCCTCTTGCTTCTCTGGCCACAGAATCTGGTGAATGAGAACAGCGCGTACGTTCATGAAGATGACGAAGAACCACATCATGACGAGGGCGATGGTCATTGCGCAGCCAATGAGGGCGATAGCTCTGTTGTCGTTGAGGGCGCGGGCGATGGCGAAGGTGGATGTTGTGAGGGCTGTGTTGGGGAAGATGAAGGAGTACCATGTCATTGCGAAGTCCATCTTTCCTCGCCTAGCACAGGACCAATGCGCACCGACGCTGACGAAGAAGAACCACAGTGCGAGACCCCAGAGCCATAGTCCCATGTAATTTGCGCAAATCATGCCGACCTTGCCTGCGAGCTCGCCGTTGCCTTCGCCCATGAAGTCGCTAGGTACGGTCTTCGGGAGCTCTTGGCCCATCATGATGACGCCGGCGATGGTAAAGCCGGACGGACCGACGGAAATGAACATACCCGGACGAAGAGATTCCTTGGGAAGCTTCTGCGTCATGAGACGGTAAATGAAGGCGGCGTAGATCATGAGCGATACGAGGAAGCCTATGCCTTGGATGACATATCCAGTCAGGATGATAGTGAGGGAAATGGTTGGATCTTCAACCTTGGGTGCAAGGTTACCAGCGTGAGGTCCGATGATGAGCAAAGGGTATGCCGGGAAGATCCAAATAGGCGTCATTTGAGAGATGGTGAAAGTTGTGGTGGACCACCTGAAATTGTTAGCATACCTGTCAGCATACGATGTGAGAGAGAAACGAACATGAGCAGGTAGATGCCGATTGAGAAGCAGACAGCAAGACCGCAGTCCATCCAGAACAAGACAATCATGCATCGCTCCAACCACTCTCCCACCCCAGCCATGTCAACTCCAAACTGACTGATATTGATCAGGATGATACCAAAGCTGACAATGGCGGCAGGAATAAACAGTGATTCTGTAGGATGCAAAAAGGAGGCCTTGAACGTCCGCGGATAGAAGTAGAACCGGCAAGAGATCATAGCGACGTTGAACAAGAACAGAACGATGTTGAGGATGAAGAAGATACAGCCAAGCGCGTAGATGCCGCGGAAGCGGAATGGGACGGTATACAGAACGTTGGCGATACCGCCAGTGGCCATGGTAAGACAGAACCAGGTCCAGGTGAAATGCCGTATCCGCTCCTTGAAGCTCAGCTTCGTCCTCTTCTCCGGTACGTCTCCATTTCGAGCGCTGCGCTTTGTACTTCTGCTGGTTACAGTAGCTAACACCGCCGGGTTCTCGCGTATGGAATCGTCAGTCTTCTCCGTAGAGTTTGTGTCGGTCCTCTCATTCTCGTCGCCGTGGTACTCTATCTCTTCCTCTTCGCGCTTAATCTGCTTCTGCACGTCGTTGGCAAGGCCTTCGGGCTCATCGCGGCTCAGGGGCGTTGCCAAGGTGAGGTTGGGATCATCGAAGGGATTCTGGTTCGTCGGATCCGGATGCGGCGTCGCGACATTCGGATGAGAGCGCCATTGCAGTCTCTCCTCTGCACTCGACACGGAGGCGGTAGAAGAACTCGACGCTGGTCTGTGGACGACGCTGGAGAAAGGCGGAAAGCTGTCGTTAGTAGGCAAGCGGCCTATCGCGAGATTCTGCGTGTTGCGGTTCATGATGCCAAGGTCAAGCCGCAGCGGTACATGCGGGGCGAGCGAATTGGCAGTCGGAAATTGTGGTTCAGCAATGACGCAATGATGTCCACCCCTTTTTGCTTCAGCACGTGTCCAGATCTTTGGCTCGACGCTAAACACAAGAAAAAACTGCACAAAAAAGAACACTCTGATGAACTGCTGAATTCTGAAACAAAAAAGCCCGGCGATAAGAAACCCTATGTACCTGCACGCGCCTCCCATAAGAGCACCGCTACAACAGTTTTTGACCAGCCCCCCCACCCCGTCGATCTGCCGCACTTCCAGTCGCGACAAACCAGAGGCCAGCAAAACTGCGTAGACATGGCCATAGCGGCCACACCATCTCGGCTATCTAGCCGGTGCCCTTGGAAGACGCGTTGTTAGCGGCAAAGCGGAACATAACTCAAGAGCAAACCCAAGCGTTTCAGAAGTTCCACCTGCAGGTTACCGTCACCATCGCTGTGTAAGTGTGTTCTACACCCGTTCCCTCCGCGTTACTGGCGGGAATAGTTGTCCTCCATGATAAGGATTTGACGTGCCAGTGGGTTCTCGGAGGTTCTGACGTTTCAGCTGGCCAGGGGCCGACCCGGCCGAGAACTACTGCCCAACACCAAATTTCAAAACATCAAGTGGCCCAACATAAGCACTTCTACAATTTCAGTTCGTTCATGCTGTATATAGGAGTCATCACTGCTGTAATTGTGCCGAAAGTCTCTGTCGGGAAACGACATCCAGGCTCACTAGCAAACACCCCCCAGGGCAACAGCGCGCGGGACCGTGAACTTCCAAGTTCACCCGTTGCTTTTGAAACACTGTTTCTTGCCTGTTCTGGTGTAGATCTTACGGTTATGACGGCTGAAGATCTCTCTATGATATCTCTGTTCTGTCACGTGCAACGGGGCTGGCAAGAACGGCATCTTCGATTGCGACTACACTGCGGAGGCCGTTAGCTACATGCCGGTTCTTAGTCCGGAACCGTGACGTATGGAGACATGTACCCGAATGCACATAGGCTGGGGGTTGGATCCAATGATGTACTCTTGAATGTGTAATCGTTTTGTCAATGGCTTACAGTCGAAGTGCAGTGTCAAACATTCTGCAGCATTTTACCCTGACATGATGTCCAGACCGTTCGTAAACGTTACTGGCATGGAACGTGGTGACACAACACCAAGCTAAGGACGGTAATCTACTCCACTTTTACCCGTCGAAGAGGGTACATCTGTCGAACGCCGAGAAATTTGCGTTGTACATACGACCGCGGACAACAATCGGCATACACATTTCTGAATCAGTCCTCGTCTAATACACCGTACCCGTACAGCTGGCAACACATTCCACCATCTGCCGTTGTTCCGCCTGGGTACTGGCAAGCACGGCAGCTGGCAAGAAAGAAAAGAACCCGTCCTACAAGCGCTACACACTGAGAGGATCTAGATCTTACGCGCTCTCTGTATCCTCTCAGGCACACGCAACCATGCTTTTATATCCACAAATCACGTTCCACTTCGGCAATGAACTTCTTACCGACTCTTAACAGCACCTGGACCTGTTCTTTCGAATCCTTCTACGCGTGTCCCCACGTAAAGCAACGTCACAAAAGACCCTTTATGCACGGCCAGTAGTTCATGTAGACATCACCGTAGCTGGTGGATTGGCTAGTCAGACCCTGAGGCGTCTTGGGCGGCAAACACGGCAAGGGTAAGATACTAAAGGTAGCGTATTATGCGCCTATCGTTTTGATCTCTTAGCTATGTGCATGACGAGTGCGGAGCATACCCACCTACCTTTTCTGACATCTTGGCGACGTGTATGACTTGTAGTATATTCACCTCCCGTTCTGTCATGCGAGCGGGGTGCATGACATGTACCACGTCGCCCTACGTTTTCAATATGTTAGCCACATTCCCTCAACTCCAT